ACAACTTAAAAATTAAAAAAGCCAATCAAGCATCTGCTTATATATTTTTTTATTGTTTCTGGACTGAAAAATGCTTGTCACATGGATGTAAACACATCTGAGGCCAAATTTAAATTTAGAGTGAAAAAATTGGACACAAACACCTATCATTTTGCTTAACTGGGAAGCTGGCTGCATGCTGTTGGCATTGAATTTGAATTCGGCCAAAAATAGTCACCGGTTTGTTTGGTTGGGGGAAAAAAACTAGAAGGCAACTCATCTTTCTTCACAATCATTTTCAAAAACCACCATCAGGTTTCCAAAAACCTCTGCCAGGGGATAAAATAATAATAAAACAAAAAAACAAAAAACAAAAAAAAAAACAGCTCGTTTGTACAATTTTCCTAAATTATGTTTATATCCATGTTTTAAGGTTTACATTAGATAACTACTCTGTTTACAGCAGAGCAATGAAAAGAAGATTGGTAACGTTATATTTCTGAGAATGTTGACATTTTCTAGCAGATAATTGTTTGCGATGCCCAACCCCCCCATAAGTAAAGTTATTCCATTTAAAGAAAAGCTGTTTAAATGGATACAGCTCAGAATGCTGTATCCATGTATTCATGGAAAGTTGAGTGGAAGGAAACAATGTGGTAGATTCCTGGTGAAGATCCCAGTCATCCAGGTCATAGTCATTCCAAAAAGATCCAAAAAAACAATCCACTGAACTTTGTTTTCCAAGTACAAAGATGTTTAGCTTCCCATCCAGGAAGCATTTTCAATTCATAATGTCAGAATCAGTGTTGAGTTCCACGCTTTCTAAAGTGGACTAAAACAAAACTGAAATAACAGTTCCACCCTTTAGGAATGGGGAGTCGTTAAGGTCTTTGTTAGCCTGCAGTATTGTGATAGATTAAGGTCCACAGAAAATGGAGATTACTATTTTTTTTTCTTTTGAAACTAAACCAAATTTTGCCTTTCCTTTGGAAATCAACATCCAATGTGAAGTTACAAAAGTCTGTGAATTAAGAAGTCATGTGTCTGCTGGAGGTGACCCCTGCCAACACAGTTTAAAGTATCAATATGTGGTTTAATGATCATGGTAAGTCAGCTGATTTGTCCAAAAGCCATTAAAGAATCCACAGAGTATTTCTAAAGGAAGAGGAAAAAAATCAGGATCAGCAAATAAGCTAAAGATCAGAATTAAAACAACCCGGTTCTCCAAAACACCTGAGCAAAACCTCAGGCTGATCTGTTGTGTAATTCAAAAAAACTTTTCATCAGCTGTTAGATGCAACCATTTAAATGAGCAGGAATATCCCACTCTGTGTATAATTCAGTTAATGTTAATATAACTTTTTAAAAAGATTTCACCAAATAAAAACAAAATGTTTGTTTTGTTACTATCAAAAATCAAAAGGACTTGATGATGGTAAGGTATAACTTTTTATAAATGTGAAAAAAAGATGTAAAAGGGGTGTTTATTTAAAGTATTTACAGCACAGCTGAAAGACTGTAATTGCGTTGTACTTTTCAAATTGAGTTTGCTGCAATAAATAAATGCAATCAAAAGTTAAAAACTGTGTTGTAGCCAGAACGATCATTAATCTGCTGAAAGGCTGAATTTTCTTTAGATGTAATTTAAAGCAATAAAATTCTGTGGTGATTTTTATACCATGCTCCATAAAGAAGTAGTGAGAGAGAACTGCTTTCCTAGAGGTAAAAAAGCTGCAGTTTCTTAATTCGCTTCTTCCATCTTTACCATCAAAGCCACAGTATCTCAGGTCTACGCAGTGTAATGTAGGACAAGTAACCCATGCTTAATATCCTGTAGTCTCCAGAGGATATGACTGCAGCCGATCCATCAGGGAGGCGCAGCTCAGATCACAATAAGCTGAGAGCTAATTAGATCAGTTTGTCATCACCACGAAAGCTCTTTGGGGCCTTGCACTGCAGCATGTTACAAGCTTATGCCCAGAACCTGTCAAATGATTTCCACACCAAATCAGTGGAAAGTGGAGCTTCAGCATTGATCCCACAGGTAAAACTGGCTCCATTTTTCCTGCTCTTTTTATTTTCTGCACCTTTATTACCACGGGAGGTATTCCAGTGGGTATATTAGTCAGTTGTGTTAACACGCTCTGCTGGGCTCTTGATCAGATTTTAATTACATCCTGTAGAGCAAAGTGCCACTGTCTTTTTCAGTGCAATGTATAAAAAAAAGGAAACTTGGCACAGAAGATAAAGACTGGCCTCCTTGCACGATGGGTGTTAACAGCCCCCCTAGTTTTTGCCCGGCTCACGTCTGGTAAAGAGTCTTTAAGCTTATTACTGAGACTTTTCTCCACTCTGTAAAAGTAATGTTCTGCCAGCTCAGCAAATCCTCTTTTCTCTCTTTAATTTGCTTGGAAAAATTACTCGTAGTCTATTAATATTAGGGGAAATTAACCAAAAAAACCTTCCAATTCTTCATTCTTTCTGTTGTAATAATTTATTTTTATTCTGCTAAGCATTCCTAACGTCTTGATGTGTGAATTAATGGTTAATTGAATTTGGGTGCATTATCCTGACCAAACACTAAACGAGCGAAAGATCATTTCAAGGTTCTGTGAGCTGGAAAATGTAATGACAAGCAGATGTTCGTGTTAATTTGGAGAAAATGTCTTATCCTCATAACATTTACAACGACTGGCTTCATCGTGTTTTTAATATATATTCATATTATTATGCCTTGTACCTTTCAGCATGTTGTCTGGTTACAGCCTCAGTCTTCTGAGTGTTTTATTGGGATTTTATATGCGCTGAACATTTGTAATCAACTACCCGTAATTTAATTCAATTCAGTTTATTTACATAGCACCAATTCACAAGCCATCATTTCAAAGCACTTTATAGGGACAGTTCAACCAGATCATACAGTCAGACTGGTTCACACTTTTTTATCCAAGAAAAACCAGCTGATTACATCGACTCATTGTCTCAAATGCAATCCCTCATAAGAAGCATGATTGCAGCGACAGAGGAGAGGAAAAACTCCATTTTAACAGGAAGAAACCTCCAGCAGAACCAGGCTCAGTGTGACCGGCTGTCTGCCCAGGAGGAATGGGGTTCAAGCAGACAAAGCAGATACAAAAATCAATATGTATGATGTCTCTAGGTTTAAACATCTGAAGACTAAAATATTTTTTGTTTACATATATAGTTTAAAGCTACAGTGTGTAACTTTTAGCGACATCTAGCGGTCAGACTGCAGCAACATGAACATTTCCCCCCCACCGCTTCTCCCCCCCAACAGTACGGCGAGCGCTACGGGACAAAATGTCTTCCACAGCATCACCTACCTTCTCAAGTGATGAGGTTTGTTTACATAAATAATTTTACAGATAGTATTTCATTAGTCTGTGTAGGGTATAGATTTCATGTAGACTTAAGATAATAAATATAACCGTTATTTTTTCTATATCGTTGTGACGTTTTGGCGATCTCGCAATCGCTAGTTTGTTGCCTCTGCGCTGCCGTAGCGCAAAGATGTCTGCCTCCATGGCTGCGAGACCCGCTCCTATGTAATTATAAATAACGAATTCTAAGGCAACGCAAATATTAAGGTTAAGAGGCTGAGCTCGTAGATGATGATAAATAACAGTTATGTATAATATATTACATTTCTGACTGTATATACCTGTAATTATTACACACTGTAGCTTTAAGCTCACTTAGATTAGTAAGATGAAAAGAAATGATGCTCCTAGATACTATTTCCAAACATTTTCAATTAGATTGATGTTAGGACTTTGATTAGGCCAATCTAACCCATAGTTCTGCTTTGATCCAACCCCCACCTGGTCCAAAGTCTTTTGCAGGAACCCGCAAATCTTCACCTATAACTACCATATATTTTGTTCTATGCTTCAAATTTCTCTTCAACTCCACTGATGGAAATTATCACCACAGCATGATGCGTCTCCCACTATGTTTCACAGTGATGATCTGTTCAGTGCTTTGATCTGGGTCTAACAATTGTACCCCAATTGAATTAAACTGAATTGATCAGAATTTTATTTAGCCTAAACCTCATTGTATATTTCTGCACAAAAATTGACATTTGTTTCAAAGTAGATTGAGATGACGGCTTTTGTGAATTGGTGCAATTTATCAAACTGAAATAAATTGTATTGACCATTATAAAACTACAACCCCCCCCCCCCCCCCCCCCCCCCCAAACTATATTTGCAAAACAAACTAATTCTATAAATCAAGTTTATCTAATGTATATCACTTATGTTCTAGTTAAAATAACAAATTAAGGAATAAGCCTTATCCTTACCATTCTTATATATATATTTTTCAATCTCTTCAACATTTTGCCATCTGCTTTTACTTCATTCTTTAAGTGATAATGTAATAAAAAAAAGAGAAAACTATTTCAAAAAGCCATTTATTGGTGAAAGCTGAAATGAGACATCTTGAGCTCTTCATTATTTTGATTTGTGCTCAAATTCTGTTTGTTGTCACAGTTTTCAAGCAGTATTGTTAAGCACCCAAACATTTATTTTATGTTAAACCAAAATAAAATAAAATTAAACTCACTTTCCTCATTCAAAACTGAATAAATCTTAAAATTCTGCTAGTTTTATTTGAAATACTGTCATTATTTCTCTAACTCGTCATTTTTTCCCCCACACATAATCATAATACAGCATTATTACAGTAGAACAAAACCACTCAAATTAAAACATTTCAATGCACTGATCACCCAAATTTATCCAGGCTTGAACACAAAAGATGCCTTGAAATGAATTTGGGCACCAGAAATAAAATAAGACTCCTTTTTTCCCAGGCAGTATTTTGTCTCCTTGTAATGTCGGCATGCCAAACCGAACAAAACTGAGTTGCCTCTCTCTGCCATTTTTTTTTTTTTTGCACAGTTAGGTTAAAACCTGCAGTGTCCACATCAACAGAGCGGCAGAGTCCCAGAGGTCGAACTCAGCCATCCGTCTGTCTCACAGTTTTGCACGCGTTCATTGGAGGATCTTGTGGTAAGGGAAGAGGGGAAGGTCTTGGATGAAAGCTGGTATATCCATTATGGAGATAGCGCCCTCTATCTTGCTTGAGGCAGAAAGGAAGGTGAGCTTCGACACCTCCCCATATGTAGACTCACTCACACCCTCCCCCTCGTCTGCTTTTCCCTCCTGTTTTTTACCTCCACCTTCCTCCTCATCATCCTCTTCAGCGCCGAATCCCACCACCTTCATAAAGACAGAGGGGCATAAATGCGCGGGCAACATGGTGAAATTATTCATCTCTGTTTAAACTCTGAACCTGACAACATTTCTTACATGCACGCTGAGTTTGCGGCTGGTTGCGCCTCGATGTTCCTGGAACCAGGAGATGAGTTCATCTCTGCTCATCTGCTTCAGGGCATCGATCTAAAAACAGCACAACATTTCAGCATATAATCACTCTTTGTTGGTGACATTTATCAGCGCACCAAATTAAATTAGTGTTTATTAAACTGATAACGCACACAGAGCTTTGCTAAGGTCCATGCCTATATACAGTCATTTTCCGTGGGTGGCCATGTTTTATTGGATCACAGCAGCGCTAGAAGCTTTAAACTTCAAAACAACTTTCTCCCTGACCTGTGACTATCTGGCCTTCATGATGCTGCTTAATTAAAAATATTTCCCTAAACTGGGATATATTAAGAGGTATCAGAATACCGGAGACTAAATGCCACATTTTTTTGTTTTTATATCTTCGATGTAATTCTTAGATATCCATTAAGTTGAGTTTTTATATAACGTGTAATAGAAAAAATACCCATTAAAGTTGGTAAAATGTTTACTAAGGCACTTGATGTTTTCCCTTTCAACAGAATGATATGTTACTGTGTAGAAAAGTTCATCCTGTGTTAAACCCAGAGGCTTGGAAGCAGCAGATTCAGGTTTATAGGAGCTTGGTTACAAAATGCTTCCTTTAAATCAGAAGAAATGTGAGCTGCTTCACTAGATGGCACCAAAGGTTCAAAAATCCTGAACAGATCGGAATCAATGAGTTCAAACTGGTCCGTCACAGCTGACATTTTCAGAACTGATTATTAACGATGAACGAGCCGCAGAAAAAAAAACAATATGAGGGAGGAGAAAATGTACAGATGTGTGATCAGCGTCCTTCTCACCTCCTTGTTGAGCCTGTCAAACACGTACTGCTGCGTCACCACCTCAGCCCAGTTCCTGTCCACCTCCTCCCCGAGGTGTGTGTCCTCACACTCCTTCAGCTTCACCAGAGCAGTCACCTGCACGGACACAGACGCACACCGCTTTTCACAAATATATCAAATCTAGCTGGACCAAACAGCTAACATAAAAGCAGCCTCTTTTAAACTCCCTGTGTATTGAAGCTAAAATAATACACACACACACAGACCTGAGTGTTGAAGGCCTCCTCTGTCAACGCTCTGAGCTTCTCCCCGTATGACACCAAGAACTCCTCAATCTTTAACTCCACCAACTCGGAGCTGCGGAGAGATGAGAGGGGGGAGATATTAGAGGCTGTGGGTTGAATTTGATCCCGTTAGTCATTCATCAGCTCCCCTTCTTCCATTCCCAGCGCCACGCAGATAAATTGTAGGTGGGGAAACGGTGAACAGTCAGATACATCACATCCCAGATCCGAGGAAAGTGGTTAAGATAGATCGGATCTTTAAAGGGGTAAAAATTGGGCTGCGGACTCACTTGAATTTAGTCGCCTGCGTTTCCACGGTGACAGAGAAACCCAGAACACCAGAGGTGTTTCTGCAGGTGGGGTAGACATGGTAACTGCAGAGGCAGGTAGGATTTGGAGAGAGAAACAGTTGAGAAGTAAATTACATTTGCTTCCAACGATCACATAAATCCAGGCATGAAAATCTTTAAACTTATGATGAAATTTTTTAAAGTTACCAAAAAAAAAAAAAACTCATACTTTTGTTACTGCAGCATCTAATGCAAGCATGAACACACTATTAGCTTCTTTCCAAACAGGACTAAAAAGAAAATATGAAACAGGATGTGCAGATGCAGACAATTTGTTGGAACCTTCACAGCTCGCTCAAGCAAAGCTTAATTTCTCCTGAAACATATCTGCATCCCAACAAAGAAGAATATAACGGAGAAGATCATTTATTTGAGCAATGCACTTAAAAAAAAGTCAACCTCATTTATTGCACACGGTGTGATACCTTTCAAGGATTTAATTTAGTCTATTTTAATGACTGTGGCTTAAACGTATTGAAACCCTAAAATCCAGTTTCTAAAATGGATAAAAAATTAAATGAAAAGAATATTTTACACAATCATTTGAAAAACTGCAGACCTTGATACCCTGAATAAATTATGAAGGCCATATTAGGAGACTGCGAAAGAAAGCTGGTTGTTAAGGAACACTGTATACAAGGATATTAATGGAAAGTTTAGCGGAAGGAAAATATGTGGCAGAAATGATGCAGAAGAAACAGAGGTGGTCACAGTTTTAAGGGTGTTGTAAAGCAAACACCAGAAAAAGATTTTTATGGAGGTTCATAAGATGTGGACAGCAGAAGTGTTTGATATTTATTGTGTTAAGCTTATCCTGAACAAGAACAATGGACGTTTTTAAGATGAACTCAGGTGAAAAGAACCCGACTTTTTCTTAATGTTCCAAAGACATCTTTTAAAATGAAAGTATTTCTTTATGCTACTTGAAAATTAAAATATATGAATTAGAGCTGGATGAGCTTCAATGCTGATTTCATCTCATATTAAGGGCTAGAAGAACCTTTTTACACATCCAAAAGTAAACATTTCTGCTGTAATGATCGTGCTATCAGTGCTAAATGGCCTGTAAACATTGGGCTGTTCTCAAATGAGCCCAAATCTTCCTCCCAATGAACAATCTACTGCATGGAAAGATCTAGAAATGTGAGACTGATTGACCAGGTGGCTCTGGAAAAGTTGGCTACACTAATTACTGAGATCCGTTGTCAGTGGGGAGAGAGAGACAAAACATTTCATTTAGCACCTTATTAGCCTGTGCCATTTTCTTGAGTGGTTTAAATATTCAACCTATTAATAATCTAAAAGCAAAGTGAGATAAAAGATCATAGATAGTGTCAAAAATAATCAGTTTGAAGTTATAACAGAGATTGTTTTGGTTTGGTTTTACTTTTCTAATGGAACGATACCAGCTTGTTGCTTTCTGTATGTTTGCAGATAAAATAACTGGACAGACAGAATGAAAAGGATAAAGAACAGTGCATCCAATCAGAGTTTGGGTTGCTCTCTGGGAAGGGTTTCAAGGCTGCTCCAAACACTCACCCCAAAGTCTCTTTAGTCCGGAGGAAATCAAAGCAGGGCTCCTCCATGTGCATCTGAAAAAACAACAACTCTGTCAGTAACACAGGGAGGGGAAGCAGGTGGGCTGATAAGATGAAAGGACGTCTCTATAAACACGTACCACCAGAAGCTCCATCAGGGTGTGCTCCCTTAAAGCCTTCGGCCCCGACTTGGAGAAAAAAAAAAAAAAAAAAAAAAAAAAAAAAAAAAGGGAACCAAAATTATAATGAAACTATAAAGTTGTAAAGTTTTGAGAAAAACGACTTAAGACGAGCTGCGAATGTGTCACCTGATAGTAAACGGTGACCTCAGAGTTGGCATCGCCTTTATTCAATGACTTGACTTTGCAGATATGATGCTTTGCTGGAAGCTCCACAACCCTAAAGGTCACCGGTACCTCTGCTGGCAGCTTAGAGAACTGCAGCTTACTGCCAAAACGGCGACAAAACATGAAAGGCAATTAGCCAGGAAAACTGGAAACTAAACAATGTGATCCAATGATGAACTTACTCAGTGACGTACTTAAGGAACTGCATAGATTCCTGTGAAAGAAACACAATAAGGCGCAATTAATAGGAACAGATGAGAGAAACTGTCAAGGACACTTTAGATTAACGCAGAGGTGAACATCAGTAGATTCATTGTCATTCGTCAATATCATTTTCAGTCAGTTTTTCTGTGTCTTGTTTGACTCACAGCACTGATAAAGTTCCCCTGCACCAGCCCCTCGGCATACAGCTCAGCCCTGAAGCTCCGGCTGAACTCCATCAGCTCTTCCCTGGTCAGCCCGGCCGTCAGAGCCTGGTACTTCTCCACCATGGACCAGCGAGAGTGCTCCAAAATCAACAAACGCACGTCCCTGAGAGAAACAGGGCAGATGGACTGGTGAGTCAGAGACGATAAAGGAAGGTGAGACAGATGTGAATAGGTGGGTGGGATGGGGGGTATTTGGGACTAATTCTTACAGAGGAGGAAGGGACGAAATAAAAAAAATCTAAAAAACAAGCAGGGTACACAACGTACTTGCCGAGTTTCTCTGGTTTAATGAGGATGTTGAAGTAGGTTTTTTTCAGCTGCTCTGAGAACATGCTGAAGACATCATCAGAGGCAGAAAAATCAGCCAAGTGGTCGACAATCAGGTGGAAGAGCAACTGCAGAAAGAAACGTGGTCAGAGTGAAAAGCGAGAAATTCTCTAACAACCCTTCTGTGTTTAAAGGGACACTTTAATGTAATTACTGGCATAGATGTAAATTTGACATTTTTTAAATTAAAATAATTCTTCCTACTCTCGGTAAAGGCAGACGCTCTCCCTTTTATTTCCTGTTTCACCGTCTTTTTTTAGAGCCCCTCTTTTCATATCCTCTGAAAATTAGAAATCATGGACCCGGTCTCTTAACGCTATTGATCAGATTTTCTCCATTAGAAGACTGGGCGAGAGGAGGGTCCGACATGCTGTCGGCCGTGTTATGGGCCTGTCTCTATGGTCAGTTGAGGACATCAAAGATGTTGATAGCAGGATTTCCGCTCATTGGACCTGGCTGATATCTGGTCTATCATTAAATTTAGAAGGCGTTGGCAGCCGTTCAGGCCATGTTGAGGGTGCCCAGTCTCTGCGATGGAATATGCTGAGCTATTAGCGCTACTGGGTCAGAACGGAAGGCTCAAGACCAGCCTTGCTGAGGTTCGCAGGCCAGTTATGGTTCTGATGGACAGAGTGAATTAGAACAAGGTAAAAGCATTTTGTTCCACAAGACGAGAATGATCCACAAACTCAGATGATCGCAACCTCGCCACCAAGAGTTCACAGCTAACACCAACAAAGAGCATAAATCAACTAGTGCTGAAACAATTCATCGGATTAATCGTTAACTGGAGTATAGAGACTCTAAAAGCTGACAAAGCAACCCAATTAGAGCAGTAATAACATCAAAATTGTAAAAAATAAATAAATATATAAAAATTTGCATTTAAGATACAAAATATATTTTTGACTGTCAATATCCTGAATCCAGAACTCCTCAAGTGTAAGTTTTAGTTTCATCTGGTTTAATTTCGTAAAAAAATCTTTTTATCTTTTGCTACCTGATTATTAATTGAAAAAATAAACAGCTTACTCGATTTGCAAAATAATAGTTAGTTGCAGCCATAAAATCAACAATGTCTGCCTGAACAAAAACAATGCGTCCATCGGAATCTGGCTCCCTTGAAGGCAGGCTATCTCACATCAGATTTGCTCCCTCCAACATTCCTTTTCCTACATCTATGAATTGGTGTCCAGGAGCAACCAAGGTCACCCTGATGGACACATCTCATCAGGAACCATCTATCGCTGTGAGGAGGCTCTGGGCCTGGCTCATGGAACAATTCTCATACAGATACATGTATCCACACAGCCGCTGCCTTTGCTGGCCTCCATTGGCTCTATGAGGAGCTTTTTTGGCAACCTTACCTCATGCCTTGTCAGGAGCACAGTGTGAGATTCAATCACTTTATCCTAATTTTCCCTGTGTTTGTAAGTTACTATCTTTAACTCAAGGGTTGTTCCTTCAATGGCTGCAGCCACAGGCTCCTGTACCCTCATATATGTTGTTGTTGTTGTTGGATGGGTCCTTCTGGAACTACTTTCATTTCCCTTTGAGGCTAGTAAAGTATTTTTGAACTGAACTGAAATCTGAAACATGCAACATTCATATACCTCTAAATGAATTTCAGCTAAACTAACTTTCTATATTAATTACCGAATGGTGTTTAATAGGGCTTCTACTAAAAATTATTTAGAAAATCGATTAATCTGTCGATTATTTTCTAAAATAATAATCGGAAAGTCAACGGTTCCTTAAAGATTTTTTTAAAGAAATTAAACCAAGTGAAAGTAAAATGTTTCCAATAGGAGTTCTTGATGAAGCATACTTAATTTTAAATGAAAAATATTTATATATATTTTTTTACAATTTTGATATCATTACTGCTCTAAGTGAGTCACATCGTCAGCTAAAGGCATCTTTTAGAGTCTCTACACCTTATCGATTACTAAATTAGTTAGCTAGTTAAATCACCATTAATTGTTTCAGCTCTAGTGTCTATTAATAATTAGCTAAAGTGTGAGATCTAACTCTAACTAACTGAAGAACAGCCTTAATCAGAGACCAGCCAGGAGGCTAAAGGTAACTTTGGAGGAGCTGCAAAGAGCAACAACTCATACAAGGGTGGTGGAAAGAACAAAAGTCCTCAAAGAATAATGTTAAACGTCGCAGTAAGCATGGAAGAAAATCAGAGGATCTTTAGTAGAACACTTCACTGCAATGATACATGGTGGTGGCAGCATCATTCTGTGGGGAGGTTATCTTCCAGCAGGAACAGAGCCGCTGATCAGAGCCAATAAAAATGAGGATAGTCTGGTAGAGGTCCTGCTAGAGGCTTTAAAGGATTTAAAATATCGACTGCTCTGAACATATTTAAGAGTCCAAAGGTCTCAGTGGAAGTCCAGACTTCAGTCCATCTGAGAACCTTAAGATGGACGGGTTGAGACTAGGGATGGGAATCGAAAACCGGTTCCGTATTTTCCGATTCCATGGCATCGTTTGGCAGCTCGCTGAACGATTCTTTTTTCGATTCCCGCAGCACCAGAGCCTACAGCGCCGGCTCTCGGGAGCACGACTTACGTCATGTTTTTTACGTAAGTTACGTAAGTTACGCAAGTTACGCAAGTTGGAAGAACTATTCGAGGAGGAAGACAACGAGCTGCGGTCACTTTGTGAATCAAAGCCCCGTCTTTCCTTAGCCCAGAGGGTAGACCAGGAAATCCAGCTCTATAAAACTTGCCCTCCATCCCCTGCAGGGATAGCGCCACACTGTGGTGGTGGAACAAGCAAGATACGCTGCCCTTGCTATCTGGACTGGCTGAAAACTACCTCTGTGTGCAGGCTTCCTCCACCCCATCTGAGAGGGTGTTCTCCACAGCTGGAGACACCGTAAGCGCTGAAAGATCCCGTATCCTTCCAGAAAAGCAGATATGCTCATCTTTCTGCAAAAGAACTGTTAATTTTCCCTACTACTGTTTTATAATTAGTATTTTTTGTTATTTAAAATAGGTTATTATCCCATCATTTGTTATTAGACATTGTTGGTTATTAAGTTTGTTCTTGTATTCATTTTTCATTTAAACACAGATGTTACTCCAGTTTCACATTTCCTGTGGACATCTTGATCTTGTTGAGTTTGTAAGATTGTGCAATAGTTAAGTAAACAAAGTTGATGCTGATAATCAAACTGTTTGTTCTCCTTTTTTCCCCAAATTGGAATTGAAAAAAGAATCGATAAAGAATCGAATCGTTTCATAGAATCGAAAAGGGAATCGGAATCGTGAAAATCTTTTCAATTCCCAACCCTAGTTGAGACATACGCTTAGAGGTTGTGGATTGGGTTGCATCAAAAGGTGTTTTGACAAATGATTGTCTCATGGGAGCTAAAAAAAATTCAAATCACAGATTTGAACAGTTAAAAATACAAAAAAAAAAAAAAAAAATGCACCCTACTCACAAAAAAATTATTTGAAGTTTGTGATTCTGAGGTAAAAAAAAAAAAAAAAACACATTAGAAAACCCTTAATGCAGTGTCTAGATCCTCCTAAACATATGTCTCCTTATGTATGGAGAAGCTTACTCACTGGCAGTTTGTGGTTGAATCCTTTAACTTTGATGATCAGGCCGTGCTCACCGGTCACCAACTTGTACTCCAACTGCGCCACTTCAGCCTCATAGGCCGGCTCGGCCAAGTTGTGGCCCAGGATGTTGACCATCAGATCAAACAACACGATACTGGAGGCCGACAGGAGGACAAGAGAAATGCAAAAAAAAATAAATAAATAACTATAATAAAAAATAAGAAACTAAGGAGATAAATATAAAGCAGTAATAAAGAAACAACTTTAGGACTAAAAAATGTTAAAATTATAAAAAAAAACATGCAGAGGGCCTAAAGAAAATAATAATAATAAACCGTAATATATGCCGGGAGGCTGACGGTTGATAAAGTAGATAAAAGCAGGATTCAGGGGTTTCTTTTCCAAGCTCATATCTGAGCCTGAACTTACTTCTTTGCAGATTGTTGGATTATTGGAGAGATTAGGTGGAATCTGACGTAGGCTGCAGGAGAGAAGGAAAACAGGTCTCAACTCGTCTCAGTCGATATTAAATGTATCTATGGAAACATCTCACAGGCTACAGAAAGAAGCAGTGCGGGTTTATACACACCTTTAGGGATTTTAAATTTGCTGTCCTTCTTGTACCACAGGCAGCCCTTGTCGCCTTCGGCTATTCTGACAGGGAAGTCTGTGTCTGGGCAGTCTGAGGGCTTCAGGGTGAAGTCAGTGGCTGAATCAATGGTACACAACAACCGTTCATCACGAGCCACTCAGAAGCAGATTCAATTATAAGTTACTTGAAACAAGCCAGTTAATCAGTTTGGGGATGAGCACTCAGAGACTAACACTGGATTTTGGTCCACCATTAAAAGCAGATGTTTTTTTTTGGACCTAATGTTCCCTTCCTCGGTCAGTGCATTCTCTAAAATTAAGTGAATTTGTTAAAAACCTTTTTGTGTCCATCTGTTTTAGGCTGGTCTAACAGCAGCAGGCTGGAACATTACAGACCTCCTTTATTATCACACACAGAGTCAAAAATCAGATGAGCTTCACATCTGGCAGCTTTTATGTCAAGTCTAAGGAGGATGTACCGCTCTTATCTGTCAAAGTGTGGTGACAGCATGCGGTGCAAATTTCCAAATAAGATAAAGTCTCTTTTTGGCCGCGAAAGGAGCTCCTAAAAATCTTCAACTAATGCAGCGTAACCTGACACCTCCTGGGTCCAAAGATTGAAACTCTACTTTAATATAAATCTCCACAGGCCCGTCTCAGTATGGTGTCCTTACTGTGGCTATACATTCAGTCTGTCATTGCACCTTTCTAAAAATCACACTTCTTTGATTTTAAGCAAATTCCATCAAAGATAATTAAAACCCAAACCCTTATACCAAATAATAGTTTATAAACAGAGGGTAAACAAATCTAATCAAACGATTCTGTCACTAGAAGTAAAGATTCTCCCAAAAGACTGCATTTAAACAACAATATGCTTCATACAATTTCTTAATTTTTTTTAAGACAACTTCAAGTTATTCATTAACTCAGTAATTTACCGTTTTTAATTTCAAAACTGTTTTAAAATATAAAATGTGTTACAGAAAATCAAAAACAGAAAAAATACAAAAGTGGACAAATGCTTTTCAAAGCAAAGGGTGGTCATAACATCCCCCAATTTAGCTGTGTTCTTAAAAAAAAAACATTTTAAGAGGAGTGGCAGCCTATTGGTTAGGGTATAGAGTTTGGAATCCTGAGGTTCTGAGTTCGAGTCCCACTCCAACAGGCTGTCATTAACCCCACACTGCTCCCTGGGTGCCGCACAATGGCAGCCCACTGCTCCTCAAGGGAATGGGTTTAATGCAGAGAGTTCATTTCGTTGCTCTGTACTTGGGACAATGTAATGACAAAAAAATGCTGGGGGAAAAAAAAAAAAAACACTCAAAGTTTTGTTAAATTTGTACTTTAAACTGTGTTTTCCTGAAAAATTTACCAAAAAGTAATTTGTGCCTAGTTCAGAAATGTGACTTTCAGATTTGTAGGGCAGTGACTTAACCCTCAGCAGGTAGGTGGACAGATTATAGCAAAGTTGAGCTGTTAATCTGTCTTTTGAACAGGGTCATGGAATATGGTCGATCCGGACACGGCTGTCTTTTGGAAATCTTATTTATTCAGTCAAACTCTATTGGTACTAATCGTGCAAATAATGAAATTATGCAAAAAGAGGTTTTAAGTGAGAACAGCAATTATTTAATTGATATTTAAAAAATAAAAACAATAATTTTACAGTAACTCCTTTTTTTGTTTTCCTCACATTGTATAACGGGTATAATCTCTACTTCCAAACATAAATAAACAAAGACCTCTTATAGCTGCACAGCTATAATATTTTTAGATGCTCTTAACTAAAGCCTTAAAACATTATCTGAAATGGCTAAAACTTGTATCAGATGATTAAAGGTTTGAAATCCTTATCAGGACATCTTTACTTTGTGTTTTTTTTTTTTTTTTTATGGAAAACCTGTTTCGGTTTATTTAGAGGTCTGCTGTTTATATTTTTTTAGTGTAAGGCAAAAGGCAGTTTCTGCTCAACTTTACCCAAACTCCAGAAAATGTTTATATTTTACTCACGCCAAAAGAATAAATTACAAGGGACATTTAAATAGACTGAATTTTAATTTTCTTCATTTTTTCCCTTCTTTTTTAATGGACCCTTTTTTTCCTGATCATCAAGTTCCCCAAATAGCTACAAAAATCAATGGCCCTTGCTCTGAGAGCCTACAGCTCTTTTAGCTTAAATTCCAACACTTCGACACAAAAACCTCCCGACAAACTGCAGTAATGACTCCATTTACTGGATGGATGAATAAAGAGCAAAAGCACAATCTTGTTTACTCCTGACCCTTTGTTATGTACAATCGGGCACTTTCTCACTCTGTTGGGCTTGGAGGCGCTTATTCACCCACCGATGAACTTGTTCTCTGGAGGAAGGTGGAGGTCACTGTTCAGCTCCATGTTTCCACTCCATCGCTCCATCCAGCTTGGCTGTATGTCTGCGTAAAGTTCACACACTCGTCAGCACGGAAAACAAAAGTTGCTGGATGCATAAAAAGAATCTATCTATGGCCTTATAGTGGCAAAGATGGGGCGTTCCGCCTACATTTGCACACATTTTAATTGAAACGCTCCGTTTGTGCTAGCTTTTCAACAACTGTATGGGTTCTTATTTCAGAATGCATAATAAAAAAGGGAATAATGCACTTACCCTCAACGCTGTACTGTGTGCCAAACCACTTCTCCCGGAGGTGACACTGGCCTTCATGTTCTGGGGACAGCAGCATCAGGTTGGCATTCTCTGGGGTTAGCAGGGACAGAGCTGCACTGATCACCTAAATACACAAAAAAGTTCATTTTTAAACCTTTAATTTTAGACCACTTCCAATGAGTTACACATTTACCCCATGCATTTCAATAGATTTTATAACAATGGCCTGGTCAAAGTCCAGATTAGATCAGGAAGTTGCATCAGACCCAAAGAATTTTGTTTTATTAAATGGTCTCTAATAAATCCATCTGACTTTAAGCCATTTCATAAAAGCAATAAATGAAAATGTTGGTTTCGTGATATGCAAATTTAACAGAGTCGAGCTGTAATAGAGGTAAGAGGTGGTTCTACAAACTATTGACTTAGGATGAAGCTGAGAAAAAATCTGTCACACTTTTCAGGTTTATTTGTACAAAAATGTATATGAAGTGAAAGTGAAAGTGAAAGCCCTTTGGGAAACTCCTCCAACTCCCATTGTCATTGTGACACAGCACACACAAGTGAACACTGCACACCATGAAATTGCATTTATGCCTCACCCGTGCAAGGGGGCAGCCCTCAATGGCGCCCCAAGGGAGCAGTGTGGCGGGACGGTACCATGCTCAGGGTACCTCAGTCATGGAGGAGGATGGGGGAGAGCGCTGGTTAATTACTCCCCCCACCAACCTGGCGGGTCAGGAGTCGAACCGGTAACCTTTGGGATCCAAGTCTGACACCCTAACCGCTCACCCACGACTGCCCAGATATATATATTTTTTTGGTTCTGCATAAAGATGAAAAAAAGTTCAAGACGGATAAATCCGTATGCACGGCATAGTGAAGAGTTCTGCATATCACGGTATCTGAGACAGCAGACAAAATGAAAAGCCAGAGTAAGATCGCAGCTCCCATCCATAACAGGCGACAGGTGCACAACTTTAACAGCTTCGTTTCTGATTTAAAAAGATGCCACCAGCAAATTCCTTATATAAAATCCAGATTTTTCTTTTTTTAAACATCTGTGTGACCCGCTTCATTAACACCTCTGTCTAAAAAGGGAAATGCTGCTACCTTTCAGAATAAAGAATCCCAGAACAACTGAGCTACTTACTTCAGGGTTGTACTCAAACATAAGCTGATCTCCTGTCAGGAAGTCCTCCTTAGGGAACAGCTGCATGTTTTCACAGATGTCCTCTACATACTCTATGGGGTCAATCTGACAACAAGGAGACAAAAAGCTTTTGTTTTAAACCAACACAATATTTCAAGTTACTTCCATTTGTGGATGGACGTCTGTGTTAACAGCCTTACCTGCTCCTGGTAGTGAAACTCGTTTGCTTCTATCCTCTGGATCTCCTCATATATTCTAAGGACATCAACAAAAACAGCAAAGTTCTAACATTATTCACCAAAAAGAAAACCTCAGACATCCCAAAGCAAACATCATCTAGACAGATTAAAGCAACTAAAAGCAATAAACATAAAGGAGCAGACAGCAAACCAAACGCATTAAATATTAGTGTAGACTACTGCCTCATTAAATACTTTTTTATCTGAGATCAAGGATATACCAAAAGTAGTAGACACAAATTATATGCATTTTATAAAACCTTTTGTCATATAATTTACGTTATTGTTTTATACTGTGAATGTTATCGTGCCTTTGCTGTGGTCCAAGGGTCTGCAGCATCTTCAGATACTGGAACACCAGATGAGTGACCTGTTGACAACCAAAATAAGGCAATATTACATAAATGTTCACTTTTAAACATATATCTTATAAGCTTATGGATAAAATAATCCATTAATAGGACGTAGATAAAATGGTCTCAGAGGCCAAAGCTAACTGGTCTTCTAGATATCTAAGGTTATTTAAAGTGACAGTCACATCCACTGATCACTATTTATTCACTAGATTGCTGAAAGGCCATTGGTAGTACACAGTGCTGTGAAGCCACCAGCAGCCATATTGGTACTCCCTAGTTAGACTGGTTTAGTCAAACATCTACTCAAATTAAAGTATAGAAGTAATTCCTTTTGAAAGTACTTAAGACTTTAAAAATAAAGATAAAGTCATCCCTTTGGCACACACTCACTGTTTTATAGAATCAACAGATTACTGTAAGTTATGGTATAAAAATAGGCACATCAAATTGCATATTCAGCATGAAGTCCAAAAATCATGTAATATAATGTATTATTCAATTCCATCACAACGAAATTAGTGTTTTAATGGAACCAAATAATACTATAGTCAGATATTAACCACATTACACATGCAAAACACAGATCTGACTGCCAAACTTCGACACAAGGTTAACTAAAAGCTGAAGGGGGATGGAAAATCCTTTCATGTCTTGAGCTTGGTTAACAACAGACAACCAAAGAAAAAATGTTGAATTCTTAAGGGGACTGATAGACAAATAAGTTCAAGTATAATATTAGGTTTCAGAAATAGCTAGCAGCACAGCTGCATTCTCTTTGGCTTTGCAATAATTCATCACTGCATTCTCAACCTGCAAAGGAAAATTCTATCTTAGAGAAAGGTTAAATAAAATAAAAAGGTATTTTCAGTGCAAAGATATGAATGGTCAACACTAAATAATTAAGATAATAATTTTATCTTATTTTCGTTCATAGTAGTAGAGTTTATAAGTCGGAGAAAAATGTCGGTAAAACATGTCAGATCCAATCTCTTCAGGTCATACTTGCAACCTCGGCATATTATGTACCTTTGGTCATGTCATCCTACTTAAAGCATAAATGTTTATATTCTAATTCATATTAGCTTTGTAAGAGAAAGGTGATGTCCAGAGCAGAGGAACGATTTTTATGCAGTCACCAGTTACAAGAAGCTGGTGTTTAAGTTTGCCAGGAGGGAAAGGAAAATCAGATCTACATAACTTCATGTAATATCACATGGTATGGTCAATAATGTAGCTTCCAAAAAAACCCCAAAAGAAAATAAATATTCACATTCCAGGGAAATGCAATCCAAGTGAGATTTTTTTCCCTTATGCAGCAATCTGACTTACTCAATGCAGTAAGAAAGGTTCAATTTGGATCTTTTTACCTCTAAAAAAAGTCAGATTTATGCCATTTTAATGCTAAATCAGATATGTATCCGACAGCTTTTGAGGCGTCTGTGGTCTTAACTGTAATGACGCGTTAAATCTAACTTTCATGTTATCATCCAGAAGCCTTTCCCGCGCAGCATCCATGGCTCCACAAAAACTCTGTAAACAGTTCTGCTCTCTTTTCTTACTCTTTTCTTACTTCCTTTGTTTTTTATAGTGAGATCATATTATTGTCAGCTTCTTAATGTTCAACAAATTTTAAAAACACCGTTATTACTTCTGTAAGCACTGGGCTACGGTGTGATGCCTACACTGTCCTAAGCATGCAGGTCCGTTTGGACTTTAAATCAATCAGAATAGAGTCTGATGGTGGTCACGTTCAAGTAATCTAAGCAACTATGCATAAATAAAAACTGGATTTGAGCAAAAACATCATAATTCAGCAAAAAGACCTGCAGACCTAGCCTTCATATCCACTCTATCCAACAGATGATCCCCAGGAACTGATTTTTCATTTTTTTTAAAGGTCATATTTCCAAAACATAAATGTTTATATATTGTTATATTTAAAACAAAATTGCAACAAAAAAGAATAAAGAAATGACTTTAATAGTCTAATGTTGATATGACTGGTATTCCTAATAGCATTTAATCAATTTGTTTGTTTTATCATTTTTTACACCTGAGCAACAAAATACAGCGACTGCCTTTAAATGGAAAGGATTTGATAGGTCAACTAAAATCTAGTTATTTTGAAGGATTGCACCAATAATTTTTAGGGATCCGACTTGTATCTTGTTAAAAATGGAGGCCGACACGGTTTATATGTCAGCTTGCAAAGCATGCATCTATTGCCAGCAGCTGATTGGCTGCACCATCTTTGCGACTGGGAACCCTTCAGTCTCTCTAATTAACACATTATGTCTCATTTACACAGGGGTTATGTACCAGACTACTTCTTGGCCAACAGCAGTTGCCAGGCAACCAGTAGAGAAATACAGAAAGGTCACTGGCATTGACCTTGTTACAAAGATAGAGAATGTGAATGACGAGAACGATAATAATCCCTATAGTGAGGTGCTTTAATAACAGCCGCCAAACTATTGAAAATTCACAGGATTAATTGTTTTAATGACTCAAACTGTAAAAAAGCTGAATAAGTCAGACGAAAGATTCACCACAGCAGATTTTATATTGGTTGTAGTTTAAATGGAATAAACCCGACATCTCTGGTTTTTTGTGGTGTGAAAGATATTAATATTAATATTTGTCTTCCTGCTTGTTAAGCACTGCATTAAAAAAGCACCTTTTGGATGATGACCTTTTAGTGTGATAAAGGGAATGTTTTACAGCCATCAAGAAAGTGTTGTCTTATATTAGAATAATAGGAAAAAATAAATAGAAAATTGTAACCATGACAATCCAAACAGTTGCCTTCCACAAGTTGTATTTATGGAAGAATAAACATAATTATGATGCTCGCGTGCATTAGATCCTCTCTCTCCAGTGTGTTATGGCTTTTTATGACTTCTGCTCCATAAAAAGGAGAATTCTTTAAAGAGTTTTTGAATTTTCAAGCAGGCAAGTAAAGAAGAGAACAGCCAGCTTTCTCAATCTGCAAAGAGCAGAAAGTAACACAGCTACATCTATGGCTGTGTAACATCAGTTAACTTGCTAGAAATGTAAACTCCCAATGATTTCAAAGTTGGGGAAATCGGTTTGGCCATTTTCTGGTACTAATAAAAAAAAAAAGGTCTACTTTCCATTTATGTTTTTAATTGTTGCAAATCATCAATATATTTTTTCACAAAGAGGGCATAAAAAAAAATCTGTATAAGCATTAGGTTGGTTTTTACTAACAGAAAAAAATAAAAGTAAGTTAAGAAAACATCCCAAGTTAGAAGGAACTGAAATAGATTAAATCAACGTTGTCTTGGTTGAAAAAAAAAAAAAAAAAAGCAAAAATAGTGATAACATCATTTTGATGAAGTGCTTCCTACGTATGTCAGGGATGCATGTTCAGTATGTCTCAGCAGCAATGTGGTGTTAGGCCTGTCCATGATGGAGAAACGTTTTAATAACTTCTTGGCTGTGTGTAAATGATCTAGCTGAAGCCAGGAATACTCATCCTGCTGCCAAAATCTGAAAGCTTTACGTTTGCTCCAGCAAAAACAGTCTCAAAAATTTGAAGAATAGGTAAAACCCCATCAATAGATAGGAGCTATAAACACAACTTTTGGTTCAGTTTCTTTACACAAGAATAAAAGTGATTCCCATTTTAAGATAATCGTGCTGGTTTTTCCTTGGAGCCCCCATTAGACTTTATTTATCCCTGGGGATTACTCCTTCAGGGATATTGTTGTTCCAGTAGCTTATATAGCTTATATAGAGTTAAAGCAAGATGCCATTAAAGATAAAAATACAACAGACAATATAAAAAGAGTGTATATAGTACAAAAGAGCATAAAAAAGTTGTAATGTCCTGGAATATATGTCCTTAAGATATAAAAATATCTGCACAGTGGAGAGCTGAGGAAAGACTACACAGTAATTGACTTGGATTATTGCAGTTGTCTGGAAAAGTCCTCTCTCAACAAAGGAATTGGTCTTAGACATAACCTTTCACGTACTTACAAAGTACTTTTAGGAACAATACCAGATGATTCACCTTCCACCCGCACTCACCTGACTCACTCTACAATGTTACCGAAACCACTCTGATGAGGAAGTCAACGGCCCATCAGAACCCCCCCCTACCACCAATAACCGCCCCCAAGGGTCCCTTTTGGCCAATCCAGTGGGAGGGATCAAAGCCATCTTTTGTCCCCACATAACCCTTTGTTAGACCTACAGTATATTAATCTCAGTGCTCCCCACCACTGGTTAGAACTGAAGCAGGCCCTTGGATGAAATGTCTTATTAAATTTTATGTCCAGTTGCCTAGACTGAACCTTTTCAAGCATTATCAGGGGCTTTTGGTCCCAGTAATAAGACAGATAATCCTGCCGTGTGTGGAATGTTAGAAGTAATCATACGTGCTGGATAGAATGTTGCCTTGCAAAACTACTGAAATCTAAATAAGTTGTTTCTTTTTAAAATTTTTGCATTTTTTCCAGAAATGAGGTGGTAAGGGAGGCACTTTGTTAATGAAACACGAAAATGTACATTTTAAATAAGAAAAACAATCAATTACATCGTCTTATTTCGAGTCCATATCATCTAATTATCTTATTTTAAGAATTTTATATATATATATATATACACACACACACACCGGTGTATATATATATATATATATATATACATACATATATATACATACATATATATATATATATATATACATATACACATATATATATATATATATATATATATACATATACACATATATATATATATACATATATATATATATATATATATATATATATATATATATATATATATATATATATATATATATATATATATATATATATAAACAAATAAATAAATAAAGGAGAACACTCCAACTACTAGGTTTCCATTTTTCAAGCAAAAGAGAGTGTGCTATGATAACTCCACTATATTTTGTTACTAAACTCTCATGAAACATAGAAAATATAATACCTACATTGACTTAAAATGTCAAAACTTGGTGTTGAAAAACATCTTCATATCTATAAAAATATTTACCACAAACATATACTGATTTTCTGTATTTAATCTCAGATGCTATGAAGGGCAGCAGGAAATCTCTGGCAGCCTGGCAGCTTTGCAGAGGTCTGCCGCTCTAAGAAGAAAACAAAATACGAAAAGTAGGAGCATGATCCTGATGAACTGACTGCACAGATCACGTTTCAGGAGTACTTCCTCGCTGAAACTCATTATACAATTTTTGTCCCCAATCATCCAAGCAAAGACAAGCTCCTTTCAATAGCATTGGCATCTGTAGAGAAGACACCAGCAAAGGAAAGACAACAGGATAGCTCCTCCTGATGCATGTCAGCTCCTACATACACAACCATCCAGGTTAAGGGGTTGGAGAACTTTTTGACCTTATAAAAGGCACCAGGAGAGAAGTTAACATTTTTTAGCTGCAGTTTAAATCAAAATACATGTCGATGCAGGAAAAAAGAGAAACAGTGGTTTATAGTATAATTTACTGAGGTCTCTGAACAGAACCATTTCCAGCCCAATTCCCTGAGGTGCTTTTCTCTCATTTTGCTCATAATCCAGCCATCAAAAGTAGGACTGAAATTGATGATAGAGGTACAGAAACCTCCAATAACACATTCCTGCAGACTTCAAAGAAACGTTTTGCACAGGTAGTTATACTGAGCAATAGCATAAAAAAGAGGGTAACAGTTACAAACCATGTAAGTGGCAGAAACACTATAAGTAGGATCTTGCTAACTTTATATTTCATATTTTTCCTCATGTTATGATCCAACAGGTTTTGAATGGCCTGAATGCATGAAGACCTTCATAATCAGGTGCAAAGTGGACATTAAAGTTTGAGCAGGATGGAACATTCCCAGCAAAGCTTAGCTAAAGAATGCACTGCTGTCAACTTCTAATCAAAATGTTATAATTTTCTGTCTGTATGATGATAACACTGCTAATATTCAGTGTTTTTTATGTCTGGACTAAACTATAAAATTAGAACGACTACCAAGATGTTATGGACATTAACTGGCCTTGAAGCTGAGAGCTGGAAGGACTTTTCTGTGCTGCGGTGAGTTCTTTTGTTGCAAACATCTGTTTCATTTAGAGCTCATATGCTGTATGACGTACAGGACGAGAAGCTCGGCAGACACAGTGTGTTAGACACACATACTGCTGCTGCAGCACCACAGTGACATTTTCCTCCTAATGAAAATGCTCTGAGTATACTAGTCTTTTTTCAAAACAAAAAAAAACAAGTCAAAAAATACCAGTCTTTCTATTATCAAGATAAACAATCACAGAGGCCCTTGCTAAATAAATTACACTCCATAAAGACTTTTAGATACAATATAAAGTATTGTATTACTAATTTACATGACAGCTCAAGTCAAGCTGGTACATTATTGTGTAGTGGAAGGAAAGTGATGAACTGTATTGAACATGTTTATTCTTTTTTTTTTTTTACATATATTAAACTGAAAAGGTTGCTGTGCACTTGGATTCAGAAGCCATCATTTAATTTTATTGTAAAATCTTTTTTTACTACAAGCTCCAGGTTTTTAGGGGTGTGTCTCATCAGCTAGGCAAATGTAGACTATATTATTTTCCTATTCTTCTTTTTCAACCAGTTTGTATGAAATCCAGATACTTTACAAACATCTGTAAACATGAATTGTATACAGTATACCTTAAAAAAAATCTTCTTGATTTTATGGGCCAGTACACTTAAAAGTTTATGTACTGCTGTAAGCTGAACATCCACTCCTTTTGTCTTTTGCAGCCTCTAAGCAGGTTTTCCAGTTTTTTAGCTAATTATCTTCTCAATGTAATATTCACCTGATCTTTTACATCTTTCCTGGCTTTTCTTTGTGAAAGAAAAGCATTCCCATCGCTATCCTCACCATGGGACACTTTGGCGATTAAGTCTCTATAAACGTGCAGAATTGGCCTTCAGCTTTACAACAAGTTTTACATAAAGACCTGAAACTTCTACTCAAATTCCATCTTAGCAGCTTTATTCACATTTCTCCACAGCTCAATTTATTGCAAGCTATATAAGACTTTTTTTTTTCTAGGGACAATGGCCTTCTTCATGCTGCATTTACATTAAGGTCACACGTGGAGCTGAACAAAGGCCTTTCAACATATTCTCCTACCTGAGCTGTGGTGTCTTTCCTTTTGCTTTAAAATCCCCTACAATTTGTTAGTTTGCTGATTTTACTTAATAAACTAATTAAACCTTCACAGAGTAGCTGATTTTATACAGCATATAGACTGGATTTTATCCAGAGACATCACGTTTAACGTGAATATAGAGAAATACAGGCCATAATCTCACCTCCAATGTCATTATTGGAACACTATATTTGAAAAGGTGCTGCTAAAATGCAAAGACAATGTTTTGCATGTGCAAAAAGTATGCATGTTGCATGGGAGCGACAATGATTGTTGCACAAATCGGTTTGGCTGTAGAGATGAGACTCTAAGCCATGGAGAGGGAGGTAATAATTATATCGAATTGACTTTCACCCCTTTTGTAGCTTCTTTTAATAGTCTATTTTATGCAAAAATATTTTAAGTTCAGTCATTTTTTCTTTCATTTTGGTGTAATCGTTTCCACAAACGCTGCGAGAGTTTGAAATTTCGAAGCTGTGTCCACTTTCATAACCTCCACCTATGAATTTGCACAACTTGGTCATTAGAATATGATCTTCACGTTGGTGAAGGCACACACATATAAAAAATGTTTGCTCATTTTCTCTGCTTATTTGCAAACGCAGGTCACTTTGTCCTTTCTTTGAAGATCTGCTTTGCTCGTGCAAACATGTCTGCACATGTTTTAAGACGCTCAAATCTTGCCACTTGAAAAAATAACAATTCAGGGATTGCAGATGTGAAAACGTCCTCAGAGAGGAAGATTTTAAAACTACACAATTAACAGAAGTTTCCTTTTTACACATGACCAATTTCCTTAAGACTATATCCTGAATAATGAAGTGTTTCTCGTCCAAAGTAAGAAAATAATGTTTCCAAGGTTGCCTAAAGTTCCTCACAGCAGTTATTGATGCAGGTTGGCGGCCTTATATTTTTTTCAATTAGGTAAGAAAGGAAGGCAAACAGCAACCCTTCCAAACAATCATCCATTGTGACTGAGGTTAACAAGTTGGTTGGCATAGCAACTGATAATGCACACAGCTTCCTTAAGAATACCTGTGGAAACAAGAGAAACAAGCCAGCAGGGTCATGATTCCCATCGCTTACTGGCTCCAATATGAACGTCTAATCGCTGTCATAGAAACAAAATCGAGGATCTGACAACAAAAGCAAGAAACTGAAGAGGCAGCTTAAAACCATTAAGACAAGGCTGCAAATTTTCTATTCTAGATAAAAAAAAAAAAAAAAAAGAGCTAAAAAGGCTCTGTTCTTTACCTCGTAGAAGTTTTGGAAGCCCTCATCAGTGAGTGTGATGGAGATGGAGAAGATGGAATAGGTGGTGTTTTGGTCGAAGCCGGTCTCACTGTTTCCCCCGAACAAAGCCAGCGCCCAACACCTACAGAAAGACACCGACTGTCAGTCACACGTTTACACAGAACTCCTGACAGTAATCAAACTAAGTGCTGAAATGTGTGAGTGGTGTTAGGTGACAGAAATAACTCTTCACATTTTCTGGCTGCTATCCTGCAAGAGGGATCCAGGAAAAATAAAATAAATAAACACCTGAAGAATTAGGCAGATGATGTGTCATGTTATTCATCCTTCATGGTGGAAAGGCTTTTATAAGCAGTAAAATTAGGTACATCAACCCCAAAATAAAAACTTTGTTGTTCAATGCGAAAAATGTTATGTGCACATTATGACCTAAACAACTCTAAGAAGACCGCTGTCCTCCAGCAGAGTGTTCACTCAGCCACAATCAATAGAAGGTTGAGTGGAAGGTGAAAAGTATGATAAAAAGGAAGAGTAGAAGTAATAAAGATAGCAGTGTAGCAAGGATGTGTGGCAAAGCCACTGAGGCTACACGGAGCCAAATAAGGTATCTTCACATCAGCCTGTCACAATAAATCAACTAATCACATGACAAAATTTAATCACTTGATGAATTTAAATGAGCTCAATAATTTATGTTTGCACGCCTGTTTGTTGTCCTTGTGTCTCCCCCTCCTTCTGCCAAAGAGTCTGGATGACAAAAGCTTTCACTCCAGTGTATCCCTCTTCACTCACCCCTCCCCTGATCGTTCCTTTAGCATAGCGAGTTACAGTAAGCACAAGTGCCTCGTGACTGAGGAATAGTGAGCAAAAAAAAGACTAGACGGGATTTGGAAAATTAAGAGATGAAACTGGTTTAAAAGAAGAATAGTCCAGCTAAAAAGTGATGCTGTCCATCGCTTTGGATCCAATCAATTCTGAGACAATTTGTTGTGTGGTAAAACTTGTTATCTTGACAGGCCTATCCTCACAAAAGATGAAGCCGCCTTAAGACTTAGGAGCACTTAAAGGTTTGTAATTAGGGCTGCAACTAATGATCTTTTTGGAAATCAATTAATCTGTTGATTATTTTTTTGATTAATCGATTAATATTCAGATAGCCAAAGGTTTCTTAAAGAAGGCTTTTTACAAAATATAACCAGCTGAAACTAAAATTTTACCACTTGAGGAGTTCTGGATAGGTCATATTTTGCAGTTTTTATATAATTACTCCTCTAAGTGGCTCGCTCTATCAGCTAAAGACATATTTTACAGTCTCTATATTTATGTAACAATTAATTGATTACCAAAATTAGTTGAGAATTATTTCAATAATCAATTAATCAGTTTAATTGCTTCAATCCTAGTTGTAATACTTACACCATGCTACTGGACAGCAGTGTGGTTCACGGCTGCTTTGTCTGGATGGGTTCCCCTATCGGACTAAGAGGTACACGCCCAATGGCTTCATCTGGGCGGGGCCTATATGTGTATCATTTTCAGGATATGGGCTACAGGAGCCTGGTTCCTTATGCTAAGCTGCCATTAGACACATCTTAGATGGATTAATGAGAACAGTTGTTCGACGGCCAGTCATTGGTCTAAACTACTAATTTCAGATGAAAATAAATGTTTCTTGAGATAATCAAGGTCCAAGCATCTGGGGAATAAGTGAGGAGGTCCAGAATCCACTTTGCTGATGTTCAGTATGAAGCTTCCCATATTTTGTAATTATTTTGGGAGCTTTGTCATGAGCTGGTGTAGTTGATGCAGGAACTAATACAAGAGGAGGCCAGACTAGATCTCATTTTCCACACATTCAGTTGTCATTAAAACGATCAGAAATACATATTTGAGTTCTGTATATAGAAACTGTATAATGAATCTAGACTTAATAATAGTTTCACTTTTTAAGCCAAATGCTTAAATAAATATTCTTTATCATCCTAAATTAGAGAGATGTACCTCCGTTTCCCCACTTCTACTAAAGGGGACAACATCTGCCCAATTTCCAACCTCGCCCTTGGCTTTTCATTAAATTCTGCACAGCCACTCTTCTGCGTCAGTGGCTTGCTCTGACAAGAAGCTGAGAGCGAGTACGCTCCAAAATTCACTGCCACCATTTATCAACAAGTGAACTGCGCGCACAGACTAAACAGGAATATTTTATCAAGGAGCTCTCCAAGTGGCGCAGATGGTAAGGGGAATATTGGAAGGGCTCTCAGCATTGTGGGACTTCACCAGGTTTGGCAAATCACTCTTCCACTTAGCAATGAGAGGCTGACATGCTCTCGTGCAGCCACATCCAAGGATGAAAATGTATGAATCACACTGCTGAGTGTGGTGGCAGCGGCAGCGTCTATACAACTGAAGATCAGGCTCAAACGCTGGGAGCTTACTCGGAGCGAGAAAAGGATTGCATACACCCTGCAAATTGAGGAGGTTTTAATTGCGATCTGGAGTGCCCTCTAAGCACAAAAACAAACAGACCAAAAGCAATAACACTCACTTCTTCCTCAGCAGAGAGAGTATGCTTCCTGTGCCCTCATGGCCAACCAGCCATGAGATGTAGTGAAGAGGCTTCACCCTGAAAGTAGAAAAGAAAATAAAAATGAGAAAGAGAAGAAAATGATGCAATCTATCTACAGACAGGGCAATACAATGGCATGTTTGGTTTGGTTTAAATCTATGTTTACATGAAGAGACACCCCGCTTCAGGCAGACGGCATAATGTGGGGAAAAAAAAAAAGAAAAACAAGATACAGGTTTGATGCAATTCCTCTAAAAAGAGGTGAAAGCTTTGTCAGTCATAAACTACGGCTCACCTATAGTGTTTCTCCTGAGGGGGAAGAGCCCAGGTGATGTTCACAGCATGCACCTTCCTAACAGGAACAACTGCAAAGGGAGAGAGAGCACAGCAGACACTGAAAGACTGAGCGGGTTAACGCCTCGTCAGTTCGCATATGTTCACACGCCATCATTAAGTCGACCATCAACCTGTTTTTACAATCTCGCAAGTCGTCGAGACTTATTTATGGGCTGAGCTGGAACACGCCAGATGTGTGCAGGCGTCGGCAGCCAAGTGGATCAGTACCTCTGTAAAGCTTGCAGAAGGCTGGGGTGTCAAAGGGATCCAACAAAGCAGAGAAATCGGGCTTAGGAAGACCACTGTAGGAACAAAACGTGTAAAGATATACAAGTTAGTTAACCCACATTCATACTTATGCACTTCTGGCGTCACCTATTAAAACTGCTGATAAAGACATAAAAAAATTTTTTTTTAAGTTTACGAATTATTTGATTGCAGTGGGATAATATAAAGGAACAAATATGAAAAGAAATGCAGCTATCCTTAACATACATTTATTCAGTGAGAACATTTTTGTTTTTGGTTTTTTTAAATCACAGATGGTACCATCACTGACTCATACGTTTCTAGTTAATTTGAATTTCTAGGAAATTCAATTAGTAATCCTTGACATTTCCCAAAGTACAAATACGACTTGACAGAGAACTAGGCTGGATGAGTAACTGCATTTCTTTAGCCATCATGCCCAATAAACAGGAAGTAAAGGAGGTTAAATAACAACAAAAAAAGAGTTGATTAATTGTTGTTTATGACATAAAGCCTGTGGGGTGAAAATAAAATACCAGAGCCTGGGGAAGCAGTGCCCATCTATATAAGAAAACAAATGGTAGAAATGGTGACGTTTCAACTAAATCGTCCTTTAATTAGATGTTTCCTAATGTTTTGTGGATTATTATGGATCTCATGAACTTTGTCTATTTTACACTCATATTAAACAAATAAAATTATTTGGATATTTCAATCATGGATATATTTTGAACTCTAAATGTACCAGAAATTGTTTACTCTTTTGTGTTTAGAACTGAACACCCATCATTTCCTTTTTTCTACAGAGTTATGTGCGCTGACCTCCTCCTGATGAACAGGTATGGTGTGAGTCAGACTCTTCAATACTGGACCCAGTTCAGCAAATCATTTTATGAACAATTCTCTATGGAATCTGATGAACTGATAACCGATCATCAAACATTGCTGAATCAGAGTATCTAGCATATCAAAGCTTCCATCATGCTTTGGCAGTACTTCAATGTTTACAGCAATCCCTGTGAATTCCTCACACCTTGTTACATCGATATATATTGATCTGTGGTACGACTTGCCCTGTTGATGAACAGGGGAGATGAATGTGGTTCTGAGGAATTGTTTACTTTCATTTTAATTTAAACAGGTTTATGAACCTTTTTAAAAATTTGTGTCACAGGGCAGCATGTTTCACACTGTGGGTTCGGACCTAGTAAAGTTGAATTACAGTTTAATACGAAGTTACATGAAATATCTGAGAGAAATTATGATGCAATCTGACTTTAGTTCCCACATCTCTGACTCTATCCTTTTTTTTTTTTTACCAATCTCCCCCGTCTCCAAAATATATTTTTATATCAAAATATATCTACAGGTTTAGAGTTGGCCTGAGGGACTGCATATTCGCAACCTTTTAGTGAAAGTTGGTGTATGCAAGTTTTAGGCCACCTTTTATGTGTACGCATGCTTTATAAATGAGACCCCTAGTGAGTTTTGTGTTATTAAATTAAAGTAGGGATGGACAATTTGTAAGACTTCACATCCGTAATGATCTATGTTGGTCCTATTTAAATATATCAGCAGTGGTTTGATGAGTAAAACTGGGCACATATAAAAAGAAAATCAACGTGAATTTCCTTCTAGATACTGTTTTCGTTTTAGGAGAGGGTGTGGAGGGGATTGGTCATGTAGGCTTTGTTCGGTCATGTGACGGAGATATTGATCCAGCTCAGGACTGTGGGCGCTTATCTGTAGCAGAGAAGCAATATCCGCATTCTGATTGTTATATAATATTAATATTGGCAAATATGTTAAAAAATACATAATTCCCAGGGTAAAGTATGAGAAAAGTTCTGTGATGCTGCGGGCCTGTGTCTTCCAAGAACCCAGTCACTGCAGCAAAGAGATGTCTAGGGTCCAATCACAAACTGCCCCCTAAGCACGAACCCTTAACTATTGAGGGTCACTCCCAAAGTCCCACTCATAGCTGTGGAAGGCGCCTTGATTGAAGGTAGGGGGTATAAACAACAATGGGACTTCCTGTTTTTCTTCAACGGAAAGCAGTCAATGCTATGGCAACATGTGCGTGGCTGTAATTCTGATGCACAGGTCGATTTGCAATCAAACATTTGCCCCTTTTTGAAAAAAAAAAATCAGTTAAAAACAATTTAAAGAGGACCTTCCCTTTTAGAATTAATGATGCGTTTTTTTTCTTATTATCAGCGTGACAAAGATGCAGCAAACCAGCAGAACTTACATTAAATGCACATGCTTCCTCCTGCACTAGTTACACTCGCTGTTAAATTCCAGCAAGCATGCACTGAGGCAGACTCGCTATTTAAGAGCTGAACATCCTACCCGCTACATGATTTGGGACGGCCCTTAATGTGGTGTACCCTCCACGGGAACATGAGGGTTAGTGCTTTAGTGTTTAGGGATTTGGGATCTGGCCTTGGTCTCACCAAACCTGTATTAAAAAGACCTGATCTCAACGGCAAACAAGTGTTCTGGAGTCAATGGTTAAAAAAACAAAACAAAAAAACTTCCTTAACTCTTTTTTGGCTTTAACTGGACTTGTGTGCTTTCAGGTAGGTTTGGCATCAGGCAACAGAAATCATTAGGAGTAGCGAGCTAGAAAACCAGTGGATGAGAATTGGAAAACAAAGAGATTAAACTGGTTTCAAATAAAACTTTTTCAGTTTACAGGCATTTACCTCTGAACTACAGTTTATTTTAAAAGGAAAATAATCAAGTAAAACAATGATCCTAATCTGCAACATTCAACGCAGAAACAGGTTGAACAAATTGATTTGTACCGTATTTTCACGACCATAAGGCGCACCGTACTAAAAGGCGCACTCTCAGTTATGTGTCCCATTTCTGTATTTAACACACACATAAGGCGCACCGGACTATAGGGCGCATTTTTTATATACAGGTACATGTCCTCTACTACCTTTAAATAGCTCTACTGCGTATTTTAAAAATACAGCGGGCCCAAAACTGAGTATGACTGTGCTTTATTCATGTATTTATTACAAAGTATTAATCAAACCTGCGAGCTGGCCCTGAGACAGACACATCGCAGATGACACAGCGCTGTGATCACTCCTAAATTAACTTAAAATCCTGAAACCTGGCGACGGAATATGTTCGCTTTTATTGCCGGTATCCTGGTGCCTGCAGTTTAAATTATTTAGATGAAAAATACCTGCCAGCCACCGCGGTGAGGCTGCTGTTGAAGGGATTTCTGCTGTCGGTGCACCGCTGGTATGTGGGGGTCTGAGCGCCTCCGACAGAAATAGATAATCTGGATGAACTGACTGCAATTAAGTTTTCAGGTGGCCTCTCTCACTTAAAAACATATTAAAACTACTTTATTCCCACTGATCACAGCAAATATAGCTGCAAGATTTAGATTATTTATATGAAAAAACACCTGCCAGCCACCGCGGTGAAGAGGAGGAGACCCGCCCAGAGGCTGCTGTTGAATTAAGTTTTCAGGGAGAAAAATACAGCGGGAGCAAAACTGAGTATGATTGTGCTTTATTCATGTATTTATTACAAAGTATTAATCAAACCCATCAAAGTCATCATCCTCTGTTTCTGAATTAAACAGCTGCGCTAAATCAGACATGCCAGTTTCCCCTTCTTCGCTGTCAGAGTCACTTTCCGTGCAGCGCGGCTCCTCAGAAATAATGCCGGCTTTTGCGAAAGCTTGAACAATAGAGCCAGCAGACACGTTAGTCCAAGCATCAACAATCCATCCGCAAACGGTGGCGTAACTTGCCCGGCGCTGCCTTCCACTTATCCTGAAACTGTGGTCTCCGTCTGTCATCCATCGCTCCCACGCCGCTCGCAGCCTTACTTTGAACGGCCGCTTCACACCGATGTCGAGCGGTTGAAATTCCTTTGTCAGACCCCCGGGATAACGGCGAGCACAGCGTTCATTTGATTCACCTTTTTTTTTCACATCGGCTGTGAGATGGGCACGCAGCGATGGTGATGCGTGGAAAAAAGCACCTGGTCTCCTCACATACACCTGCCTTTCATCATCTCCTCATCCATCCAGCCTTTTTCATTTGCGTTAATGTCATCAGAGCGCTGTGTCTGTCTCGCTGTCAGCTCCCAGATCAGCTTCTCTGATTGGTTGATGCGGCGCGTCCAGCAGCAAAACTTAAATTTTTCCATCTCGAGCAGCAGCAGCGCGTTGGCGGTGCGTCAGATGCTTAAACGCTCCCGACGTGCTGCACCTGCTGCACAAAACGCGCTGTGGGACCTTTTGCTGTGCCTATACGCGCGTCAACCATTGACTTTGCATGTAAACTCGCTGCTTCTGCTGCATCTGCTGGGTCCGGTTCACACCGATGTCGAGCGGTTGAACAGCGAGCACAGCGTTAATTTGTTTCCCCATGTTTTTCACATCAGCTGTGAGATGGGCACGCATGGAGTTACATATTAACAGCGATGGTGATGAGTGGAAAAAAAACACCTGGTCTCCTTACATTCAGCCACTCTTTCATCATCTCCTCAATGAGGTGGTCTCAAAAGTCGCAGTTACAACACACATAAGGCGCACCGCACCATAGGGCGCACCGCACATTTTGAGGGAAAAAAAAGACGTTTAAGTGCGCCTTATAGTCGTGAAAATACGGTAATAGACTGTTGATCTGTGATCAATGGCCACAACGTTAAAGATTTTCTCCAAACAATTATTTCTTCTTATGCTTTCTAAACAACAAACAATTTTAGTTTAACAATTTTCACACATCTTCACCCAGGATTATAAAAAACAAAAACAAAAGGGACACCAACAACTTAGCTTTACTGTTTCAGAAAATGCTGGGTGCTAAATCTTAAAGCTTCTTGACAGAACCAATGTCAGGGATTTTTTTTCTATTTTAAAAGCATAACTCGGAAATGTTTTCATGAATTCAAGCCTGATGAAAATGAGTTTAGTTCTGCCAGATGAGTTCAAATAACATGAAAGGAATTTTTTTTTTTCCCCAAGCAGAGCTGGAAAAATATCATTAGCCAAATGCAGCATCCTGTCATCATTTAGTTGGAATGAAAGCCTTTAAAACATAAAGGTTATGAGGCTTTCATGTTACAAAGATGCCTGCGTTGGATCCCTGAAAAAGGGGAGCCACTGACTTAAAAAGCAAAGGGAGCCGGAGTTCTAAAAGAACACACTTAGCTAACATAAATGGATCCATTTCAGGATAATTAGGAAAATAAAGATCAATGTATTAATCAAAGAGTGCAGAGAAAGTGACAGAGGACAATTTGACATTCACATTTATGAGAAGGATGTTAAGAGTCAATCTAGGGAGCGACAGCACCTCTTCACAGCAGCCGAGAGTCTCTTCTCCAATACTCACTTGTTCGGCACCTTGCTGAAGATCTCTCTCACCCACTCCTCTAGAGTGTCCAGCTTCTCTAAGAGACCCACAGAGTGAAGGGGGCATATATTTCAGAACGAGTACATTTCAATCATTTTGACTTAATTCTGGGGATTTAAGCTAAACACAGTACTGATAACTCATTTCTTCTACTTTTTCATATATGGTAGCATTATAAGGATGCTCAAATATAAAATGTATTTTTGACAAGCTTGTGATAACATACAGGAATAAAAACCTAATACTAAAGATAAAAATGCAAACATATAAAAGCATAATAAAACATTAAAACATTTATTTATGTGAGATTATAAGGAATATTAAAAAATGTGCTAGATAGCTACATTGGGTGGCTGATATTTCAGATGTATATTTGCATTTTTCTCATGTATCATGCCACATTCACAGCTAACGCGATTGAAGCAGCACAATGAATGCAAGCATGCTTGTACACATTAAGGTCAGACACCCCTTAAGTGCATCCTTGATGCTCCTGAAACGCATCCAGTAAAGTGTGTCCAGGTGCGTCTGATGTTTCTGCTGCTCCTGTGATCAATGGCAGGGAGCGGCTTTGCTATATTTGCTGTGATATGGGGGTAAAAAGTAGTTTTAATATGTTTTAAATGAGGAAGTCCAGCTCCAAACATCATCTGCCTAGTCTAGGGATGCACGATATTGGGATTTTGGCCGATATCCGATATGCCGATATTTTAAAACTCATGTAGCCGATAACCGATATCGATACAGATGTTAAAGCTGGACAAAAATAAGTAGTCATTAAAAATAGCAGTTTTGTTATCCATTTCTGACACTTTGAAAAATAATATACTCAAATATATTTTCATATACTGAAATCAAATTGAATTTTAAAAGCGCGGCATCGATCTATTTTACTTTCAAAATCTCGTGAAATTTCATCGTTCTGTTACAAACTCTCGTGATATTTTGCAAATTCTTGTGAGATTTTGTTAGTAAAATAGATAGACATCGCGTCAATATATCAATACATAAAAATATGGCAAAATTTCTTGAATTTTCGGGGGATTTCGTAGCATAACGATGACTTATAGCAATATTTCATTAGTAAAAGAGATTGATATGGTGTTTTTAAATGGCAATATATCAGTATATGACGATAGAAGTTTTTAAGTCTGTAAAAAAGTTTTTAAGGAAGAAGAAGAAGTAGTATTTTTTTTTTTTAGACTTTAGAAACTCAGAAGCTGATCAAATATCGGGTTAAATATCGGTGGGGTGGCCGATATCCGATACTCAGTTTTAAGGCCAATACAGGCCGATACCGAGAGGGGGCTGATTATATTGTGCATCCCTAGTCTAGTCAGTTCATAAAGATTCCGATTCTATGTTCAAATATAATTTCGCTGTCGGACAAGCACGAAACCCCCGTACACCCGCGGCATTCTGTCACTTAAATCCCCAGCAACAGCAGCCTATGGCCCGGTTTCCTCTTGGGGTTTTTCAGCTACTGTTTGACGCGGCTGGAAGGACCCGACAGTGGTTTTCATGTTCGTAATCCAAACTGCACACACCAGAATAATAAAAGCAAACATATTTTGCCAGCAGGTTTTAACATTTTAAGTTAATTTAAGCCTTATTAAACAGTTTCAGTGCACCAACAGTGCTGTATCTGCCTCTCTGCTAGCTCCCAGATCAGCTTCTCGGATTGGTTGATTCAGCGCTTTTGAGCAGCAAAAGTAAAATTTTTCCTACTCTAGAAATCAAGCATCTCAGATGCTCAGAAGCTGATGCACTGCCCCTGCTGCTCTAGACGCACAGCAGGACTTTTTGTTGCGATTCCATTGACTTTGCGTGTAAACCAGCTGCTTTTACTGCTTCCATTACGTGTGCTCTGAACATAGAATCAGGATGAGCCGATACCAGTTAACTAATTAATTTAGCAGCTATACCTTGAGATCACGTGAAGCGCATCTGTTCCTGCAGCTTCTAGTTGCTTTTCATTGTTAATGTTTTGTTTTATTTGTTAACAGTTTTGTTTAAATTAAGACCTGATGTTTAATTAAGATTTTTTAGATGCTGCCAACTCTGCCTAATACAGCATTTTCTATTACAGACAAAAGCTTAAAGCCCAAAACTGGGCAGCATTGCAGGACTCCATTCAGTCACCTGCTGAAAGTGTTCTGCTCTCTCATGCAGCCTCAACTTTGAACCTTCAAGTATTGGTAACACCAGATAGACTACAGAGTGATGCTGTTAGCATGACCTTTTAGCGATATGGTTCAAAACTCAGGATAGTCTTAAAAGTATCAGATATTAGGAGCGCAATTTACAAATTCCAGTCCCCAGATGACATTTTTTTAAAAAGCTCTGGTCTCAAAATCAGCCAGATTTATATTAAAAAGAGTTTGGAGCTTCTTCACATGCTAAATACAATTTCTCCTGGTATGGTTATAGCTGTTGGTGGCACACAGTACTGCAATATAAAAAAAAAAATCATAATTACGTTTTAAGTGTATTGCTGCTGCACATCGTTAAAATTAATAAAACCATTCTAAAAACTACTAAAACACTAACTATCAAGCTAGAAGATAAACATTTGGCAGTGCAGCAAACAGAAGAAAAGAAAAACTCATCCTGTGTCTGTCACACCGCTTTAACCTAATTTTATTACCATGTTTTTTGTTTTCTGATGCTTGATTTTCTATCACCTGCTCCTCTAATTGGAGCATTTGTAACATCTTGGTTTCACCTTCCACTGCGTCAGATTCGCAAAGAGTCATATTCATACAGAGGACGGTTAACTCACTGGTTTAATGAGGATGATAGTTCAGAGCACAAAAAATCATTTCAACACATGTCAATATTTTACTGAAATAAACTAGTTAATTACTTGCTTGACATTTTCTTTCCAAACCCTGAAAATCAGTTGGATAATTTTTATCTGACAGCAATTATGTCCACCTGGTTGCACATGGATGAAGAGGAACCTTATTTCTGCAAATGCCAGATTAATTTATGAACCTGCAGGTTGCCTTTTCAAAGAATCAGTTTCTTTCACTGTGTGAAATAAGTTCAAGGATGAAGTTCATTTCTACAATCTAAACGGTTCTTTATGAATGATAAATGGGATGGATTTCTCTGACCTTTTGACTGAACAGCCAGAGTCATGTAGTGGGCAGAGTAGTGCTTCTTCCAGAAGGCACGCAGCCGCTTGTACACATTGATCTTCTTCTTCTTCGGCTCCTGCTTCAACGTTTCCGCATTACCTAGATTTATGACGAGTTAAAGAGCAATTAAGTATAGTTTTGGAACAGCAAAGATGCAATGCAGTGATATAAGCTAGAAACTTGGCTCTTTACTCGCCACACCTGTTTGTTATTGCTGTAGGTTCTCCAAGGAGGCCCAGTGTGTATTAAGTGTCCCAGTGGTGGTTTTTCCAAACTTACCCCAGCAGAACTTGCCCATAGGGTGTCCAGGTTTAGCTAGACTGCCGAAAAGCATCTCCTTCCTGTGGGAGTCGGACGGCTTAGCCAGCTGGTACTCTGACAGGAAAAAAAGAAAAACAAAAGGAGAAATAGACAAGGGATTTAAAAAAAAAAAAAAAAAAAAAAAAAAAAAAAAAAAAACAATGAATGGAGTGTAAAACAGCTACGTGTGCAACTGCGACATATATAACCTCAAATGGATGAGGAGCAGTTTATCATCAGAACAGATGTTCACAATTTATGGGAACAAAGCAGTGACACACACCGCTGTCAACGGCCTCCACCTCCCTGTCGATGGCGTCTCGGATCATCAGGGGGCAGATAAAGAACTGTGCCCACCTAAGAACAAGAAACACCACAAAGACTTTATATTAGGAAGACATACAAACAATAAAACATGTTGACATCTAATGAAATATGTCCGTTAATGCATATATGCTTCTCACCACCCATAAATCATTATGAGGGCAGGTTACATCAAATCTGTAAATACTGACATACTAGGAGAAAAAGGGCTGGGTAATAATTCATTATCAACATAAACTGCAATATGATTGCATTGATCAATGGTTAAAGTGACATTAAAAAACATTTCCAGTATTTCGATATGCTCTGCTGTCTCTGGTTATGTTTGTCACTGACTGATGTTACGGGCACAGGCAATTCGCGCTGTTGTGGATTTTTTATTTATCAAAGAGCGCGAGACCACCACTCAAACAACAGGGAAAGATCGATCTTTGTCGTTGCAAATTTATTCAAAGCCATAAAGCGTTTGAAGGCTACTGCTCTAAGAGGCAAAAAGCATTGAAGGAAAGTGTGCACACTATTTTATACATCACAGAGGAAGGGGAAGCTGTAAGCCGTTTCTGGTCTAAACCAGTATGTTATCAACATTCCTCCTTAGCTCGCCAAAGCATAGAACTAGGTAGTGAATCTTCTCTGACTCTAACTACTTAAACACAGTCGGTAGAGAAAGACTGTAAAAAGATGCTAATGAGCAGCATGCACATCCTCTAAAGACAAGATATGGATGATGCAAAATCAGATATAAATAATCATATATATTTCATGGACCTAGGATAATAACATTTAAAAGTTTGTAAAGGGTTCTATTTTTCAGCCTTCTTGACAGTTTTCCGGAGGCCTAAACATTGTTTATATCAATATATCGAGTTGACCAAAATGCAGAAAAAACATTGTTTTGAACGTATCGGCCATTTAATAAATCACATCCACAAAGCATACAGAAATCCACTTCTCTGTAGAGATAAACTGATCCAATATTAATATCGGTATTGGTCCTAATTAGAGATGCACTGATTTAATTTTTTTTATTAATTTGATACCAATAAATGGGCTGAAAGTATTGGCTAATAACAGTTATTGATCCGAAACCACTGTTAAAGGAATGAATCGTGTAGCTTAAATGTAAGTGAGGGTATCAGGATTTATCTACAAGTAAAGTGCACATTTGTATCAAAAAGAAAGAAATAACACTTCCTTGTACAGTTCTCTGTAAACATATTTTAAAATGTAATACACAGGAAAATATAGCAGCTGCGTGAAACTCGCTATAACTGAACTGCTGTGTATGATATTAATAATCACTGGATTAGAACGATGGATCGACGTCATTCATCAGATATCCGATCCAACTAATGAGTCGATATTTTAGCATAGAGCCATAGAGCCCATTGTATTTAGTCTATTACTATAATGAATTCAGGTTACGTTAAAAATCTCTAACAGCACAAAGGTTAACGTCGTCATTTGCATCTGTTTTAATTCAATAAAAAGTCAATTTGAAACCTGATGGTGCGTTCGCACCGAATGTAAATGTACGACAAAGCGACTGATTTACATGTTATCCCTACTGTATGTAGTGGTGCATTCAAGTGTAAAGTGATGCAAAGGAATTTGAAAGTCTGACCTTTTTAGACAAATTAATAATAATAATAATAATAATAATAATAATAGAACTTTATTATTCTCAGTCTCACATCGGAGAAATTCACCTCTGTTTTTAACCCATCCCCTTGGGGAGCAGTGGGTTGCCATTGTGCGGCGCCTGGGGAGCAGTGTGGGGTTAAGGGTAGGGATGCAGGATGTTGGGATTTTGGCCGATATCCGATATGCCGATATTTTAAAACTCATGTAGCCGATACCGATACCGATGTTAAAGCTGGACAAAAATAAGTAGTCATTGAAAATAGCAGTTCTGTTATCCATTTCCGACACTTTGAAAAATAATATACTCAAATATATTTTCATATGCTGATATCAAATAGATTTTTAAAAACGCGGTATCGATCTATTTTACTTTCAAAATCTCGTGAAATTTCATCGTTCTGTTACAAACTCTCGTGATATTTTGCAAATTCTTGTGAGATTTTGTTAGTAAAATAGATCGATACCGCGTCAATATATCAATTCAATTCAATTCAATTCAGTTTATTTATATAGCGCCAAATTCACAACACATGTCATCTCAAGGCACTTTACAGTTCAACCAGATCATACAGTCAAATTGATACAAAGTTTTCTATCTAAGGAAAACCAGTTGATTGCATTGACTCATTGACTCAAATACAATCCCCCACACTAAGCATGCTTGTAGCGACAGTGGAGAGGAAAAACTCCCTTTTAACAGGAAGAAACCTCCAGCAGAACCAGGCTCAGTGTGAGCGGCCATCTGCTGAGGCCGACTGGGGTTCAAGGAGACAGAAGCAGAGATACAAAAAGCAGCTGTAAAAGGCGGCCCCGTCCAGGAAACACACAGCCAGGCAGACGAGCTCCAAGGCAGCTCCCATGCCAGAGGACGAAGAGAGCACATCCACTCAGTCACGGTCAGAGAAACAGGACCACACTGGAAAACAGGCCGATCTCCAACATCTATTAACAAGGGTGTTGATAGAAGCAGCACAGCTGATGTTTTTTTTCCAGGATGACGTCACAGCCAAACAGGAACAGACGAGGCAAAGCTACTCTGAGGAAAAGCAGAGAGAGCAGAAGGTTAGAGATTGAACTAACAGATTCTGCAGAATAGGAGAACAGAGAGAGAATGAAGCAGAATGATGAAATGGGGGTCCCTATGTCCTCCAAAAGTCTAAGCCTATAGCAGCATAACTATAGAGATAGCTCAGGATAACCTGAGCCACCCTAACTATAAGCTTTATCAAAAATGAAAGTTTTAAGCCTAGCCTTAAAAGTAGACAGGGTGTCTGCCTCACGGACTAAAACTGGTAGTTGGTTCCACAGGAGAGGAGCCTGATAACTAAAAGATCTGCCTCCCATTCTACTTTTAGAAATTCTAGGAACCACTAGTAAACCTGCAGATTGAGAGCGAAGTGCTCTGTTAGGAACATAAGGAACAATCAGATCTCTGATATAAGATGGAGCTTGGCCATTTAAGGCTTTATATGTGAGAAGGAGGATTTTAAATTCTATTCTTGATTTAACAGGAAGCCAATGAAGAGAAGCCAGGATAGGAGAGATATGATCTCTCTTTTTTATTTTCATTAGAACTCTGGCTGCAGCATTTTGGATCAGCTGAAGGCTTTTAACTACAGTTTGTGGACTTCCTGATAGTAAAGAATTACAATAGTCCAGCCTTGAAGTAACAAATGCATGGACTAGTTTCTCAGCATCACCCCTGGACAGGATATTTCTAATTTTTGCAATGTTCCTCAGATGAAAGAAGGAAATTCTAGAAACCTCTTTGATATGGGATTTAAATGACAGGTCCTGATCAAAAATAACACCAAGATTTTTTACTTTATTATCTGAAATCAGTTTAATCCCATCCAAATGAAGTGACTGGCTAATCAGTTTCTTTTTCAGAGACTCTGGTCCAAAGACTATAACTTCTGTTTTGTCTGCATTCAGAAGCAGAAAGTTGAGAGTCATCCAGGTTTTTATGTCTTCAAGACATGTCTGTAATCTATGTAATGGGTTAGCTTCATCTGGATTTATAGACAGATATAGCTGGGTATCATCAGCATAACAGTGGAAATTAATCCCATGCTGTCTAATAATTCTACCAATTGGGAGCATGTATAAAGTAAAGAGAATTGGTCCTAGCACTGATCCCTGTGGTACTCCACAGGTAACCTTTGAGCGTGTTGAAGATCTATCATTAACATGAACAAACTGAATTCGATCAGATAGATAAGATTTAAACCAGTCTAGTGCTGTTCCTTTAATTCCAACAAAATATTCAAGTCTTTCTAAAAGAATATTATGGTCAACTGTATCAAATGCAGCACTAAGATCCAACAGGACGAGCACAGATACAAGTCCATTATCTGAGGCCATGAGAATATCATTAGTGACTTTCACCAGAGCTGTTTCAGTGCTATGATGAGCTCTAAAGCCAGACTGAAACTCTTCAAAAAGTTCATTATGGTGGAAGTGATCGCAAACTTGTTTGGCAACTACTTTCTCAAGAATTTTGGATAAGAAAGGAAGATTGGATATAGGTCTATAATTGACCAAGTCATCTGGGTCAAGAGACGGTTTCTTAAGCAGAGGTTTAATTACAGCAATCTTAAAAGCTTTAGGTACATATCCCTGTAACAGAGATAGATTAATCACATCTAAAATGGAGGAGGAGATCAAAGGGAATATCAACATATAAAAATATGGCAAAATTTTGTGAATTTTCGGGGGATTTCGTAGTATAACGATGACATATAGCAATATTTCATTAGTAAAAGAGATTGATATGGTGTTTTTAAATGGCAATATATCAGCTTATGAAGATATTGTGATATTTTAATGTATCAATATTTTTTTCCCTCGTCTTTAGAAGTTAAGTCTGTAAAAAAGAAGTTTTTGAGGAAGAAGAAGAAGTAGTATTTTTTTTTTTTTTTTAGACTTTAGAAACTCAGCAGCTGATCAAATATCGGGTTAAATATCGGTGGGGTGGCCGATGTCCGATATTCAGTTTTAAGGCCGATACCGATAAGGTGCCGATTATATCGTGCATTCCTAGTTAAGGGTCTTCATTAGTGAGCCAGAGTGCAGGCTGTGGGGATCGAACCGGATACTTGCAACCTTCTCAGAGCACAAGTGCACTGCTCTAACCACTAGGCCACCACCTCCAAACAGAGATTGGATGTGGTTGTGATGTAGGGGGAAGAACCGCAGCAAAGGAGAAGCTCTTTTGTTTTTAATGAAATGGTAGTAATGCCAGATGATAGTACGGCGGGAAGCAACTGTGATCCAGATTTTTCAAACTGGGAGCATCTCTGGAGGATCTGATACCCAGGGATGCCAGCACCATTTCTTGGTTTTCCAGATCAAATAGCACTGTGAGTCACTCAGTAAAATCCAAGTCAGCCATGATGAGCTGAAACCAGCAAGCAAACAGAAGCTGACAGCAGCTCCTTCTAAACGATCACATGGCAAAGCAAAAAAAAAAAACTGGCCTCATTTGCCATGTGAATTATTTTCGAGATGTAAAGTGAGCAACAGCAAACCAATGACACTGGAAATGTGCTGGAATCGCCCTCGGTGTAAACACACCATTGCAGTTTTAAAGTTTTGTTTACAGGAGGAAATTTGCCTGTTAACACGATTTTATGTGTTCTGACACTAATCTAAAGTTGCATCTAAGCAAACAGAGTCTGTATCAGGATCTGTAAATATTGAAATCTGAGTAACGTAATCGGATCAAGAAGGGAAAAACAAGTGGATGGTTGCATCCCAACTTTGATTAACTAAAACTTAAATGACCTGTTTCAGCTTTTTTATTTATAACTGCTGGGATCTCAAATATTTTTCAGTCTACAATGAGTGCAGAGAAGCTACACATCTTCCTTAATATGGTGCATTTAAAGACTACGCTTTATTTTTTATCATTTTAGTTAATATATACAGCCCTCTTCCTGCAGACGCCCTGTCCAGGCAATGGAAAAGCTCTCACTGATGAAAATGGCGACATATTTGCTGCACCATTCACAGCTGAGTGCAGAAGAACCAGACACAGTGTAAACTGGAAACAAACACTCCTGAAGTAACTAAGTTGGTGCTGTAGGACATCATCTCTTCTTTGCTATGAGTAAACACAGACATCTGCTTCAAATCAGGTCTATAACAGTTGCCCATTTCTATAACAGTTGGATGGGTTCTACATATGTGGAATCAATTTAACAGGAACTTGGTTTATTACTGAATATCAAAGGCTTTTTTTTATCTTGGTGACTTCTTCTCGACTTCTTCTCTTGTCACAGTTCCTTTGCCATCCATTAAGTATTTCCAAGAGCCTGGAGTGACTTTCCTTAGCTTTTAAAGCAATGCCATTTCAAAGTAATCACATTATTGTTGTATTAGTCTGATTCCTCTGTTCTGTAATTGCTTCTGGACTCTGCTTTGGCGATGGGTGGAAAAGCATCTCTTTAAATCACTGAAGCAGCAATAGTCCTGCAGAAAGAGGACAATCCATCACCAGATGATGGAATTTACTTTTTAAACCAACAGTGTGGACACCCCTAACTAACAGGCGGGGTCAAATTATTATGCATGTCAAATTCAAGATACAAACAGCTTCAGATCATTACACAGAATGAGGTGCCACTCAAAACTTTAAGAGTGAAATAACGTTTCTGAATAAAATAAATAAGAATTTGGTATAATCTGAATGGTTTTCTGATTCTCAGATATAGATCAGATACTCAGATATATGGAAATACGGCTGTTTTTCCAATAACTGCATAGATAAAAATGTTTGGACATTAGAAATGCTGTTTTTTGGTTTGCTGCAACAGTCCTGACAAAGGTAACAATAATTCAATTTAGTCTTACGCTATAATTCTTTTAATATTGCACATATTAATATAAATCTCATGTCCTTTTTTTGTTTTTTTAACTTTGCTCAAATCTACACAATACATACAAGTACATATATGAACGTATGAAAGCATAAACAAATGGATTGTGGTCATAAAAAAAGCCAATTCTTTTGGGGGGTTTTTTTTTTGTATTTCTATATTTAAGTATTTATGTGTGTAATTTCTCCTTTTGTGTATTTATATACTTAATTATTCATCCTGTGCTTCCAGGTGATTCTCCAGTAAACCAGTAGTGCTGAAGACAAATGCTAGAATCACCAACCCCATTAGCATACGGAGACAGAAATCTAGAACAAATAAATGTGAAAATGTAGAAAAAATACAAATAAATTTATGAGGAATAAATAAATATACGAATAAATAAAGTACATATGAATAAATAAATAAATGTATTAATAGATGATGTATAAATAGAAAAATACAAGAGAAATGCCCCAAAGAATTTGTCTTTTTCATGAGCTTATGTATTTATTAATCTATTTAATTATAATTTAATATATATTATATATTTATTTATGTACTCATTTATGCAATCATAAGTGTATTTATTTCTTAATATGAACATTTAGTCATTTTCATTTTTTGTCATTTTTTTGTCCCTTATAAAGTACATATGCAGCTGAATGACAATCAGGACCAAGGCTAAAATCACACTGCAGGTCTAAATGCTCAATTCCAATTTTTTTGTGAGATCCGAATTTTTTTTCTGAGGCTGTTCACATGATTGTCCCAAATCTTGTGTCTATCAGAGGAAGTAACTGGACGATACAGCAGACAATGTAGGAAAAGAGACAGAGGAGAAAGCGAGCCAAGCTATTAATTATGGCTTTCTGTGGAGCAGTGGCAGTGAAATCTCTGAGGAGAAATATGTGGGTGCAGCATCAAAGTTACGGTATGACCCCTCAAGTTTCTTTTGGATTGTGGCATCCGCCAAAATACGAATTAATTCCAAAATGTCCTTGTATTATTGTTGTTGTCCCTGCGCTGTCGGTACTGAATGACATCATCATCGTTCCAATTCCAACATGGGTCCCTTGGCTGTTCAGGCCGCAGTCCGATTCCAAAACATCCGGCCTGTGTCAGATTTAAAACCAGATACAAACGTGGCCGGATCTGATGTGAAAAAAAATCTGATTTCCTGTGACTTGACCTGTTCACACAGCCATGAAAAATTATCACCCGAGTCAGATCAGGGCAAAAAATAAAAAATAAATAAATTGGATTAGGGCCACATTTGTCTTTATTTAAGTTTAAAAATGGGCATATTGCACATTTTTGCGACCTGATGCTATTTCAAGATCTAGATATTGTAAAAGTTCAGGTTGCATGTGTCCTTAACATGTAAGAAAGCCACATATTTAATAATCTTCATCCTCTAGACACAGGTGGCATTGCATCCAATTTGCAAAACATCACTGAAGTCAAGCTAGGAATAATTAGCTTTTTAACAATCATGTTCTCTTTATACAAAGTTTAATTAAATTTAATAAAACGGGTATAAAAACATGTTCTTACAGTGCTAAATGGATATTTTCAATTATGTTTTTTGTCTTTCTCTTTCATGTTTATCCGTCAGTCAAACATTGCCTCTTAACACATTCCCCTCTGAAGGGCGACACGTCAAAAAAAGACCAACACACAAAGAAACAAAGGAAATCTCTCTTTTCCAAACCTGTCAAGAGCTTCTTTGAAGCTTTTTCTCTGGACGTCAAACTGGAAGATGGTCCTCTCGCAGTCGGTGGAGGCATTGTCGCTCCCACCGTGCTTCTTGAGGAAAGCATCAAAGCCGTTTTCTGACGGGTACTTCTCACTGCCCATGAACACCACTAGAAAACAAGGAAATCGGATGGGAGAAGAACAGAAAAGTGACTGCATGTCGACGATTGAATAAATAAGTAAAAAGGCATAAATGAAAAATCCTGGCTGCTTTGAGAAAGAAAGATATGTATTTTATTTATGGTTCCTCTTGTTTTCCTGGACAATGAGCCAAACACAGACAGTCTGACAACGTATTCAGAAAATGATATCTTCGTCTCTCTTTGCATAGCGCTAAATAAAGCTTTGAGCATTTGTTGACAGTTTGGATGACAAACTGTAAAAATAAGCATGAGCTGTCTTTTATGACTAATGACTTAAAAACAATGTTGGCTTATCTCTGCTTATATCAGCCATATAACAGAATGCAATCCAAAAGATGTGTGGCAGTGAGCAACACTAGCTTCTTCAGAATGGAAAATATGCCGCTGTTGCAGAAACGAGCAAGATATTATAGTCATAAACCTTAGTCAATCTATATAATTTGATTAGTAGTAAATTAGTAATACTTATACAAATTATATTATATTTCCTTAATCTGAGTGTAACATTCAGTCCATCATTGCTAATAGAAGGAGAGGGACACATTTAACTAAAGCTAAACTAAATTAATCTGGCCTACGCTTTCCAGGTCGTTACATTAAGGCAACAGAGTTTGTTCGATTCTATTGCGTTTTGTAGATAAAATTTTTATTAGTCATGAGGACCTAATATTTGAAAAATCTGGATTTTCTTTTAACTAATCCACTACTTGGGCTTTCATAGCTCAAAGTGACATCAGTTCATCAATTTCTGGTCAAAGATGTTTCCTCATGACTGATAAACAAGCTCAGAATGTGATAACAGCAGCTGCAAGTTTGTTGTATTTTCCTTGTTTTTTCAATCATTATTATTTTAAAATCTTTTTCCACAACTTGAATTTTGTTGCTCTTTAAATTAAGATCACCTCCCAGAAAGGAGGACTGAAAATAAAGCTAGTTTTTTAAGCAAAAAAGTGAGAAAAAAAAAATATTATTGGATTTAGTACAACAACAAAAAATCAGAGTAGAGTTTTAATCATGTCGCCATGCTCCAGTCTCGGCCTAAATATCTAAGATCCTGGTGCCATTCAACTACTTCTTTACAGCATCGGGTCATCTAGTTGGCCCATAGCATAAGCTGTTATTTAGAGATTGTGATGGCAGAGGTGGGATATCAAGGTCTAGAAGGTAAAAAGCCTGTACAGATGTAATTGAACTTTATTGATCTCAGGTTGGAGAAATTTATCTCTGCATTTAACCCATCCCCTTGGGGAGCAGTGGGATGCCATTGTGTGGCACCCGGGGTTTAGGGTGTGGGGTAGGGGTGTAAATAATAATCGCTTTGTATCGATGCATCGATCCAACCGGCCATTTGGGGACCTGACCACCTCACACCTGCCTTAAAAGCTGGTTCTCTGCCTGCGGTAGCTCATGTGTTCACACACCTGCACGCACTCAGGGTCGATGACAGCATCTGAAGACTTTTATGAGTCTGATGCTTAAGCTGTCGATACTCAATGCCCCCCTTCTCTGGTTTAGGAGGGAACTGCTTGGTCTGCCAAATTATGTTTAAGAATTGCTTTAAATATTCCTGCATCCACATTGTGATGTGGATCTGTACCAACATTTTCGAAAATTGGATTCTTCGTTGGACTGAGGAGCACCTTTGGTAAAAATTTTATTAAAATACGTTAAACTTTTCAAGTTGTCCTGTACAGATGGACAACTCACCAACTTGCCTAAATACATAACCTCCTTGGCACACGTAATGATAATGGTACGGAGCAGCAGTGGCGCAGGAGTTACACAAACACCCATGTGCAGAGGCTGTCTTCGTATTTCCAAAATTAACACACAAAAAAGGCAAAAAGTGTCTAACATAAAACCTAAAATATCATAATTGTAAAATATATTAATGTTTAAAGAGATAAAAGCATACATTAGAAATAGAAAAAAATACATTAGTTGTTGATGCTGTTTGAGTTTTAGTTACGTCTATGAATTATTGAGTTTTTGGAAGTCTTTGTATACCCAGCCAGTAGTTTGGGTCATGAGTCCCCTCTGGTATTATATTGTGGGTCAGAAGCTGAAAATTTTGGAACTACTGGTCTAGGCCACCAAGAGCCCTGAGGAACGAGAGCATTATGTGGCATTCGGACAGAGAGTGACGTGCAATGAGTCCCACATTGGACCAAGAGGTGAACCCTGTGCAGCAGGGCTGGAAACAGCACTGATGGGTCTGCTGTTCATTCACAGCACACTAGACTGCAAAGTAGGCATTGTTTTTCAAATAAATAGATATATGTAAAATCACAGTATTATAATTGTTAATAATTATCCATATTTCTCTGACCAACCACAGGGCTAAATCTGACTGAGTCATAGTCCACACCTAAATCCACCTATTACAAAAATGAAAACATGCTAACTGATCCGTTTCTCTAAGTAAATATTTTTCAAAAAAGAAACTATCAAATAATTTAGCCTCTAGCTGTGCAAAACCGGCGGGGATGCAGAACAACATGCAGCTCTAACAGTAGGAAGAAAGGAATATGTCTAAATTTAAGGAAATGAAACATGTCCCTCTTTCCAGATTCATACCCATCAAATCATTATAAAACATTTAACTGGGTATATCACAAATCTTCAAGTGATAAAAACTTGAACAGAACATGCTAAAGTTAAGCACACCCAATACCTTTGCGAGGTACCATAAGTCCAGTTTACAGCTATGACTAATAAATCCAACATCAGTACTGAAATATTTAACTTTACTTTTCCTAAATATATCAGGTTTTGCATCTGTAAGTACAAATGTTTTCTTGCAGGTGATGAGTTGGATACAAATAAAAGCACCAGGAAATGTGGGTCAAAAAAGCCCCAAAGCTAAATGTAGGCCCTTTGCCCCCCATACTGTGTGACCACAGCCCAAGGAGAGAGTTATTCTAAGACTTGTCAGATACTGTTAGCTGATCTTGAACTTGACGAAACAGAATTACAAGTCCCACTAAACAAAGAGGAACAAAATCTATCTAGAGTCTATCATGATTTAGGATCAGTGGCGACATTAAAAGACGGAGAGTAAAAAGAAGGAACAGACGTTGAGGGCTACTATCTTCTTTTGCCATCTTTCTACAACCACATGTCATGTTCCATTGAGGCTGGGGAACATAGGAAGGAAACCCCTCAGGGGCGAGCATCCAACAAAGAAAAGTTGACATTTAACACAAGGATCTGATGCTGCTTTGCTGTGCCGGCCCTACAGATGTGTTCTAAAAATGGATTATTTGAACTAGATAAGTCTATAATAACATAACAAGCCATTGAAGTAAAGCTATAGGCACAAGGTAATAACTCTCCAGTCTCTGTAGTCATTTGCATGAGCACCAATATGTGTAGTGGAATAAAACTAAAAATGCTTTAAAAGCCGTGACAGCAAAGGATTATGTGACAGGGTTACATTTCCCTTCAAAGAGAAAAGGAAAGGTGAAGCTTTTTTCTCCTTATTTGGAGGAATCAACCAAATCTCATATTAGCCTCATTCAGTAAGGAGTCTCTTTCTGTTACAACAAATCCAAAGCTACTTCAGTTTTAAATGTCCTGATTGATGGTGCAGTTAAAATGTACAGAATCCTCTGTTCTGTTGTACTTTTTACCCACTAAATCAGCCCTCAATTTCTCTGTCTCAGCTGTGTATTAGGGCCATGAAATGAAAAGACTCGACTGGATGTCTCTAGCATTAATTACTCACTGTGCTCCAGAAAGTGAGCGAGGCCGGGGAGGTCGCTGGGGTCGCTGAAGCTGCCCACACCGACACACAGAGCTGCCGCAGACTTTAACCGAAAAAAAAAATCGAATTACCTTTGATTGCTGGGGAAGCAGGATTGTCAAATAGCCACAAACTAGCATTTTATCAAAAGAACAAAGAGGAGGCACGGCAGAAATGTAATAAACATTGAGACCACCATACAGTAATCATTACAGAATATTTTACATTTTTCTCCCTGATTCAATCATCTAATGTTTATTAATTCATAACCAGTTTTATTCCAACATTTATAATGATAAGTATGCAGATTTAAATCCCTAAATATGTAACCAACTCAATCCAATACATTAGTATCATTAAAGCAAAGTTAAATTCAACTACATACATTAGTGTTTAACCCAATTTGTCATACAATGCAGTTAAGTTCAAATCATAATACAAACTAGTAAAATCGGTATCTGTATAAGGAAACCAAGAAGATTAATCAAGCTTTTGTCTTCCCAGCAATCCAACTTGTGCAAGCATGTGGTAGCAGTGAAAAGGATGAACTCTCTTCTATGGCACACAGCTTCAAACATGTACATGCACCCCATCAGTTTTTGATTAAAGACTTTTGATACCAGCCACAAAGATTGAAGCATAACTCTAGCTTCATATTTTACTAATTCTCTGATGACAAACAGCAGCCAAACTGCATTTATCGTTCAGACTTTGAGTGTTACCTACATACCTAATATGGCTGTGGTGAGGTCTGGTCAATTTGGAAGGCTATTCTGGTATCTAAGTGCAAGTGATGTGTCATTTGGATCATTGTATTTGCTTTAACGCTAAACAGTGAATTTAGTTTAATATCAACAGAAAAAGATCTGCTTTTCAAAACATGTTTAAGCTTGGCAGTTGCTCATAGCTCATTTAGCAGCCAGTCGTTAGTAGGGCTGAATTATTTAGCCGAAATTAAAAAATGTGATTATTTTCAACCAGTACTGTTATTTTCCATTGCACTGACCAAAGCATGTAGATGTTTGACACCAGGGTATCTTTTTTTTTTTTTTTTTTTTTTTTTTTTATGACTTTGAATGCTTGCTTGTCCGGAGTCCATTGTTGCTGGACTCTTTTGCAACCTTTCAATGAAAAAGTTCTTACTTCTGCTATCATGCAAAGATTTCCCTTTCCCCTGCTGTGCAGCAGCAAAACCATCTTAAGTGTATTATTGCCATCTGAAGGGTTGGAGGGAGATATTTAGTGTCTTACTCTTCTTAAATGTGAGAGCCTTTGCTGTTAAGTTTTGCTAGATTGCAATTACATAGCAAATGCTATTATTTATACAGCTCTAGTTGTTAGGAACCTGGACCAGCATGGCTTTTCCAACTGGAAAATGATCTGAGACATGCTTTAAAAGTATAGATAGAGTAGGTTAAGATTAAGGCTTCCAGATGGACCTTGATCTCCAGAAAGTTTGTGAAATGGACTTAAATCAATTTCCATGTAGGAAATTGATTTAATTGATGGTTAAAAAAAAAGAAATCATTGTAGAGAAATTCCTACATGACATTTAAGCAAATATTATAGGGAATACATGTGCAAATTCCAGCTTATTCACCCGTGTGCATTAGAGTAAAAAAAAAGAAAATAAAAAAACATGTTCACCCAATTCGGTTGCTTGCTGTTTCAGTGAAATAAGAAAGTATAATAATTGAAGTAGAAAAATAAAAGCAGAGAAATGCTTACACTCAAAATCAATTCTAGATTAAAAAAAAAAGATAAAAAAGATTCTCTGTTAGGAGCCGTGCATTGCTTTAATATGCCAGACAAAACACAGCATGTCAAAATTCCTACAGGTGTTCATCTGCAAAAGTATTATTTTTACATTTATTTTTACAGATTACCTGAATTTCTGACTTCACCTCAAAGTAAAGTTCGGTAATATGGCAATTTATATTCATGGTTTTAGGCAAGAGACCAAAAGTGTAGTTTTTTTTTTTTTTTTTTTCTGAGTGGGGGGGTGAAATTCATCCAATGTCCAAGATTAGCATCTTTAATTAATTTAAAAAATGTGGTTTCCACTAAGTAGTAGTTAGGCAGCAGAGTTGGTTTCAGGGTAAACAGAACTAGTCTCTAGTACTGTCTGTCAGGTAAAAAAAAAAAAAAGAAAAGAAAAGAAACTTTTAAGGTTAGGGTTTTGGAATTTCCTGAATAATATAAAAATATTTGAGCCTGGTGAGCTTTGACCATATTTTCTTTGTTCTTTGATTCATTGTTTCACCGCTCAGCATAATTTTGCACTGCAAGAACTGACTGTTGCCTTTCCAACAAGTGCTTAAATGGATTTTTTGAATCATGCATTAGGGGGTCTTTATCGGACCCACTGCGGGAATAAAAAAAAAAAAAAAGTGAACTTTGAGAGTTTGAGAGGGAACAAAAACAGAGCTGAAAGATGTAGACAAGACAGACAAGCCAGAGAGTTTCAGGATCCATCGACAATGGCACAGTCAAATAAATTATAATTTGTTCTTAATTCTATTCAGAGTCAATATATTAAAAGAAATTAGAGCCATACAACATCTGAATATTGAAAGCAACATGTATTGAATTAATTATAATCCACTTTTCTATTGTAAGTAATAGTGATTTGTACTTTTAGGTGGTCTCAGTTTATAAAAAAAACTAGCAGATTTTCACAGATCTTCAGTTTCAACTGTCTTTTTTCTGAGTGTCTGACTGTAAAAGTGTTTTAACTTATTTTCTTCTGCTACAATAACTTTTAAAATAAAACTTCACATGGTTAAACCAATTTCAAGAGGACTTTAAGGATTTTGGAGGTTTGAGGCAATGACATTGGAATGGTTTTTGTTTAACTTTATTTTTAGAGGGTAGGTGAACCCTCATTAATAAAACATAAGCTGAGTGCCACAAAGGGAGACTCACACGGCTGCTGTATGGCTCAGTAATGTAAAGTTATATAAGGGATCATCCTTGAACACACTGGTTTAAAAATGCTGGTTAGGGGAAAAAAAGAAGAATTTGTGGTGACTTTCAAACAGACTGTGCTAGCAACAGGGTGCTTTTAAATTCCTTCATACCATGCCAGTTTGCTGGGTATCCAAGCTAATATAATAAGATCAGTCCTGATTTTATCCTTACCACTAGAGGAATTATGGTATATATATTGTTTTTTCTAATTCAAATGGGAGATTTGGTGTCATAATTTTAGCTTTAGGTTAACAATCTGCTGTGATAAGCTTTAAATCTGGCAATCCAAGCATAAATTATTCAATCTCCTGCAGCTTACAACTGTCTTCTCTGGTGCTTTATGTTTTTCTATTTCCCACTTTTTTATAATTCAACATTTTTCAATGTTTGTTTTAATACATCTAGAAAAGTGAAACTTTGTCAAAGTAATAATAAATCCCCTTTAAGGAAAACTCAATACCTGCTTCTCTGCATTTCCTTTCTTCTTTTTAACCTCCCCCTCATCCTCACTCTCCTCATCATCATCCTCTTCATCACCAGATTCATCCTCCTCCTCCTCCTCTTCATCATCCTCCTCCTCCTCTTCTTCTTCTTCTACATCCATGTCATCATCTTCTGCTGCTACTGGACCACTGTAGTCAGAAATCAGCAGAGCGCGCAAGCCATTGTCCAAAACGATATACCTGAGGAGCAGAAAAGGAAATGTAAAAAACCACAAAACATTTGAGGAACTCCAACATCACAACTTTCAAAGGCTTTTTTTTCCCCTCTCTCGTCCTTTTAAATCATGTATGACTTTGAAAGCTGCATCTTTAGCGCTCTGAGGCTTGTTCTGTGCTTCTTTTCAATAGCACACTTTTAGACTATGCACCACGGGGGCCTGGGGCACTGATGTGTGCTTAAAGCATGAAATCAGATCATAAGAATAAAATAATAACAATGAACTGATCCAGCTGGAGGAGAAGCTCAATATCATTTGGGAATTGGGCTTTTAGTAGATGTGGGTCATTTTCTCACAACATTCTTACAACACTCAACAGTTATGAACCAAGAAACCAGCACTCCTTGATAGAAGTCAGTGAATATAAAATGAAATCACACACTGTGGCAGGGAATAAACTAAAACTCTACAAGCTATGCACAGACACAGTGTTTGGAATGAGCTTAATGGCTCACTTCCCTGGACAGACTACTGTCATGGGGCAATGAGTGCAGTCTGCGGAGCCCAGAACGAACCCAGCGCGGCAGATAACCTTCAGAAGTCACATATTAAGTGAGCAGAATCCATATGTGAAATTTAATCTCATTACAACAACAGCTGTTCTATGACTTCAGAGGTTTGTTAGGGAACATAAATGAACAAACGGCATCTTAAAGATTGTGCAACACAGCATACAGGACTGGGACAAAGGTTGTACTGAATAGGGCTGGGTAGTAAGTCCTGAATCGATTCAATTTTGATTAATACAGTTCTAAATCAATTAATTTCAATTCGATCTGTATTTACAATAATGAAAGTGGTTCAACTGTGTTTCAAAAACTCATGTATTTTATTTTTTCCTGTCACATTAAACACAAAGTGCAAACTTGTAAATCTGACAGTTTAAACTTGAGATGTGAACAAAACTGTCTCTTAAGTGCAAACTTCTTTGTGAAAAGTGAAAAAGTTAAGCCTCACTCGAGCAAGCAGAATTGCACAAACCATATTTGTAGCGTTGTCTGTAACAACTACAGGGTGTTTGCCGGTCAGCCCCTATTTGTTGTCTTTAGTCAACCTATTGGCTATCTTTGCAGCTGTCTGGCTTGAAGTAAGCTTGAGTGCATCTTTCCTGCTCATTTGAATGTGAGCGTCACTTGCATCACTATAAAACTAAGACATTGATTTTGCAAAAATTTATCGGAATCGATTCAAAATCGATTAAATCGATTTTTTTACCCAGCCCTAGTAGGGAAGCACCCCAAAACAGTACTCTTCAATCCAAAAAAAAAAGGTTAACTGATCAGAAGAGAACAGTACAACTGGTACAAATGCATGTACATCAACCCAATGGTAAAACACAGCAGCATCATGCTGTGGGATACTTCCTTATATTAAGAACAGAGGAGCTGGAGGGTCAAAATAAATAGAGATCAATGCTTGAATCTTGCTGGGATTTTTTATCCCAGGAAGATCGGAAAAGTCCAGACTTAATTTAATAGATTTGATGTTGTTTTTTTTAGCAGTATATTGAACAGGCCATAGTGAAGCTTGGTACCTGTACTGTTTGGGGTCGCTGGGGGACTTGATGATCTCTCTGTCTCCAACATTGTCCTCCCTTCCTCCACCGTCCCCTTTAGCCCGGTTCTCCTCACAGGTTGCCGGGGCTTCGGCCTGGACCGAGCCCGGAGAGTCCGCCGCAGGGCTGTTTCTTGACTTGTTTGTTTGCGGCATCCTGGGGAGAAGTGATGACGCTTTTGTCCGGCGGGCTGACAGCAGGGCTTGGCTGTTAAACACAGGACAGCTCGGTGCTGCTGGGGGTTTAGTCCTTAAAGCGGCAACAAGCCGTGTCAGCCTGAACAGGGCAATGATGAAGACCCTTCAGGTAGGACAAATATAAAACAAACTATGTAAACACAAATAATAAGTAGGACTTTTGATACATGGAACAAGGGATTAAGGTCTAGCTTGTCACACATACAAAGCCTAAGCTTTCAACACAATAGAGCTATTCAGAGAGGCTGTCTGGTGCTTTTAACCCATTTAGTTTGATGTCAGCTAAAAAGCCTACCCGTCCTGAAACTGGCCCCACAACTCTACATAGAAAATAACACACAATACAGAGCAGGAAATGGATACAAGGGCGCCCCCTCCACTTAATAAAAGCTTAACAGGTGTAACACACGACTGGGCGAGACTGTTGTTTCTTTTAAAACAACTTTTATAAGATTAACTAGCCGGTATGTTGATAATAGATCCGTACCTTCTTCCTCGCCGTTAGCAGGGCTTCGGCATCATGTGAATTCCGGGTTCTCCAAAAAGCAGGGCTGTGATTGGCTGAGAGGATATCACGACGTGCGCTGGTTGGCTCTACAGAATCAGCGGGGCGGGACTTAGGTGGTCCCACGTGTGCGCCTGTCTGGCAGTCAGCAGTGGTTAGAGTGTAGTTGCCCAGAGATGGGACGTGCAGCGGCGACAGGGCGATGCCATCTGTTACCTATTATAGATGCCTGATTGAGAATGTCCTGCCGGTCTCTTGTCATCACCGCTTAATTTTATAATTGATCCTTTTGGAATCTAAATCAGCTTAGGAGGACTGAAAATGATAATTGTTTTTGTGAGCTTGCCCTGCTTCAAATGAAAGTTATGCAATATTACCAAACCTTTCTTCAAGTGCAAATGTTTAGGCCCTGGATGCTTTTTGGCCTGTAGGTGGCAGGCATAAGCCACAGGGAATGGGGAGATTTTACCTCCTATTAGATGCCTCTTCAGACATCAGTTATAGGTTAACGTTTCTGTTTCTTCAGTTATTTTTTTTTAAGCTTTCCAAGTCTGCTGAAGGTCTATTATGCATAGAAATCAGCTAAACAGAAAGCCTCCAGCTTAGTAAACAAATTGTGTCTCAATCCTTAAATCTGATCCAAATGGATAGAAACACACTCTTATCATGAATGAGCCACATTGACATTTGTCCAGTGCTCTTCTTCAGCCTTCACTCTGCAGAGTGTTGGCATTTCACCCCTCTGCTGTGCCAATATGTCCTCCCCCTCACTCACCGTCTCCTTCTCTCTCTCTCTCTCTCTCTCCCTCAGTCTGAAGCCAATCTGATTTGCCCCTGGGCCGGTGTTGGCAGAAAGAGGTGATAAACAGCAACCATGACAACCGGCGAGCCAGAAGAACGCCCGAGTTCTTGTATCCTAATGGCTTTCACTTGGCATCCCCTCCTCGTTTAATTCATCACGTCCAGCCTTCACCTGAGCTGATATTAAGGCTCTCGGGACAGATGAAGGTGGCACGGCTCTGCTGCACTTTGAGCTTTTCTCATCCAGTCTTTTTACGATAAGCCTCTGGCTCGTCTTATCAGCATGTGAGATGAAACACTAGTGTTAACACTAAAGCCTCCACATCACTTTAAACAGAGCTCTGGCATTAGACACTGAATAAATATTTCCTCAGTCTGATTAATATTAAAATGAATGTTAGACTTGCTGACAGGGTAAAGAGAAAGTACTGACCTGCAAATTAATGCAGTTCATTGAAAAAAGTATACACTTTTGAAGGTTTACACAATGTGTCACATCACAACCACAAGGTTCAATTAATTTTTTGGGGATATATATATATATCTGTGGATATCTAGGTCTGGACTTTCACTAGACTATTCTAGCAGAATATTGCAGTTTGATCTAAATTGCTCCATTGCAGCTCTGGCTGATGTTAAGGGCTATAATCCTGCTAGAAGGTGAACCTTTACCCATTTTCCTATGTTTGCGGCTCCTAAAAGGGTTTTCTTCCACCGTTGCCCAGCATTAAGCTAAATTCAGGTTTCTATAAATCTAGACATCTTTCATGAAGAACACAACAAATTATCACCAAAGCAGGATGCCGGCACCAACATCTTTGCTCTCAGAGGGTTTAACAGAACAGTTGTATTTATTCTTAGATTGGTTTTCACACAGGTACTCTAATTTGCTGAGAAGCACTAGAATAAAAATGGCTGAATATGAAGTGTAATCAAACTTTTCCATCCATTCATTTCTGTCACGCTTATCCCAGCTGGGATCGCAAGGGGTACTGGTGCCTATCTCCGGCTGTCAACAGGCGAGAGGCGGGGTACACCCTGGATAGGTCGCTAGTCCATCGCAGGGCAACACAGAGACAAACAACCATTCATGCACACACTCACACCTAAGGAGAATTTAGAGAAACCCATGAACCTAACAGTCATGTTTTTGGAGTGTGGGAGAAAGCCGGAGTACCTGGAGAAGATCCATTCATGCACAGGGAGAACATGCAAACTCCATGTACAGCAATGCTACCCACTGCATCCGTGATCACACTTTTTGGATTTTGAAACCATGGCTCTGAACACTATAAATATGTTTCCTTGCAGTAAAACAATAAATATGATTTCATGTATATGTATATATATATGTATATATACATATATATATATATATATATATTGTGGGAATATTTCTGAAGTGTGTTGTATGTGTTTTTTGTCAAACACATTCTTTTGATCAATAAGCCTCTCAAACTTTGCAGAGCCGAGTTGTACGACATGCATGCAAGCACAAAGCTTCTTGAAAGCATGGCCTCTGTAATGGGAAGGAAAACCAACTTATATGAGCTGTGCAAAGAGGCTTTTACGTGCCCTACCATGTGAAAACTTCCAGTGTCGCCGATTGATTGGACAGGCCTCTGCAAACCAAAAAACCTCCTCTTCTTAATGCCAGTGTATGGCCTTTTCATGAACAAGTATGTCCTATCATCAGGAATACTAGCGTGAGACATCCTAATTCCGTGTTCAGCCGCCCTCCCCCCTCTATCACAGTTTCTGTGCCCCTGCCTGTGACTGAGCCCAAATTGAAGTTCAGATTTGCCACCTCGGGCCTCCCTAGAAAAATTGTCTGTGTGCAAAATGCATTGTGGAAAGCAGCCGGCTGAATCACTGTAGGTATTATGAATTTGTCCCCTCCTCGGACAGCTTCCCGCAGAATTACTGGAGGCGGGTTGAGGGGGGGTTACCTTTAAGACTTCAAGGGGGCAAGGTTCCCATGGCAACTGATTTGAATCCTAATTAAAACAGGAGATTTGATTAAGTGGTGCAGCAACATGTGTGTCTGTGAGAGATCATGTGTGTGTGTGGGAGTTGGCATGTTCTTGTGAGTCACGGTGTAAATGAGGAGGGGGTGTTATGTGGCTATATGTGTGTATTTATGTGTGTAATCATAGGCCTGTGGGTAATCCTGTGAAACACTACAGTGTCTGCAGCATGTGTGCTCACATGTGTGCATGTGTTCAGTGTCTCCCAGGAGGCTTGTCCTTGCCTGCAGAACTACTGTGTGAATCAGAGGTGAGTCCTCTGGAGTTGCCCTCTGCTTTAATCTGGAGCTAATGACAGAACCACCTGCCCTCCTGGCCGTCCTCGTCCTCCTCCACATCTCACAAAACCTCAAATGCCCACCGCTCATTGTCTTCTCTCTCCCACAGCCGATCTGTTTATTTCCCCACCCTCCATCTGCCTCTCTTCTCCTTCAGTTGCTTTCTCCTTCTTAGTTTCATTCATACAAACAAAAAAGTGCTTTAACTTATTCAGTCATATGTTGTCAATATACTTAGAAAATACATTGAAGAAGTATTTGAGTTGAAATTCTGAGTTGGCTCTTGACAGTCTAACTGGTATGGCTTTTTTTGTCTCACTTAAATGTTTTAGATAATTAAATGTATATTCATATCCAACAATAACCTCACACATTACAAAGAGGTGTTTTAATGAGGATTTTATTCATTTTTGGAAATGACTTATTGAAACCTAAGTTGCCTATGGCAAGGTAATTGTTTTATGAACCTATAGTGGGAAAGGCAAAAATCACCCTGCTTAAGGTCATGCCATAGCATCTCAGTCGGATTTAAGTCAATAAATTGTCTAGACCACTCCAAAACCTTCCTTATGCTGTTTTTCAGGCATTCAGCTGTGCATTTGCCAGTGTGTGCTTCAGAATAATGCCCTACTCCAAATGCTTGAGGTTGACAACTGGACTTTTTCCATGAAAAGAGCAGCAATCATAATTCTGTCAATTACACCAAGTTTTCTATTGTCTAATCTGTGAAGCAATCCCTGATGAACTGCCTAATACAACTACCAGCATATTCTAAAAAAAAAAAAAAATGAAAAAAAAAAAAAAAAGCTATTTTAGATTCATGACAGATGGAGTGGGAAGCATATCCTCCAACAATTCAACTTCTAAAAACGTGTACCTCAAACATTTTGGGAAACCTTTCTGCTTTTATTTTTAGTCAGCAATGGATTTGTTCTTGGTACCTTGTGATTAATGAATATCTTAAGAAAGTTTATTTCTTAAGATTGAATCCTGAAGTCTGATGCAAGAGAGTCCTTTTCTTCATTTGTGGATAAAATATGTTATAAATATATCGGTTAAGTTCCAAATCCTTAGAACTGAATTTGCACCCCATTCCAGACTGACAGATGTCAATATCTTGACATTTGTCAAGACATTGATTACATTTCCAACCTGGATCAGGTTGGTTTGGACAGTTTTTTCTAAATGAAATAAATATTTAAAAACAAATTAGATTAACCCTATATCTGTCTAATAATAAAACACATTTGATTGTGTCAAACATATGTGTTAAAAAAGTAAAAGCAAAGGAAATGTTTACAGAAATGTATTTTAGAATTATTTAATGCAGTATAACACTGTTAAGCATATTAATTAGTCTGCATATACATACCTACATGTAAACCCTATAGCAGCAGAGAAATTGACTTGAGTGTACTAGTAATATAGTTTTGTTTTTAATTCTAAATAATGCATGAGGTTATAAAGTAACTTTGTAATGAACTAATGATGTATAACTTTACTTTAATTGGAATAGGGTGAAGGGGTAAAGGCTATATTATTACCTTGATAAAGGCACAGCCCATGCAGGCATATTTGTAATATATTAAAAAGTTAGAGTAGGCTCCAAATGTATTCATAGTAAAAAAATATTTCTGTTTTCATCAAATGAAGTATTTTAATAAATAACCTTCTGCCAAATTGTTCTTTATTATATTTTAAGTGGTTTCCTTTTTGCACACAAAAATGCTCAATAAATAACCAAAATTAAATGTAAGATAAACTTATACTTAGCAAAATATTTCTTTTGAAGTAGCTGTATTTAAGCCCACTGAAGTGCCAGCATACTCGAGTTAAACTGGCAAATATTTTGATTGCAAGTATGTCAAAATGTAAAAACCTCAGTGTTCTTGTTTTTACCGAGCATGCCTTTGCCTTCTTCCTCTCTCTATCATTCTTCAGCCTCCTGGGTAACAAGACACTGGGAGGAGCGGTGTAGACCCCTAAAGGAATCGAAGAATGCATTCAGGGACC